TGTATAGCAACTTCTTGAATTTTAAGATTCTTTTATTATTATTGGAACTACATATTATACAATTATATATTTTGTACGTCCGACCGAATCTCTATATGTATTTTTTTCGGTCACAAATCGAATTTCTTCTTAAATTATTTACTTCTCCTGACCAATTTCACTGTCAATTATTCTTCCTTCCTTCACCCAATAATTGCTTCTTCGTCCCTGAAACTCTAAAAATTCATAAACTTCCCCAATGATTTTGTATGTATTCCACTTTCTTCCCCTTCTGAATGGTATTGTTGACTTGTTGTGGAGAAGCATTTTATAACATAACCCAACCTAATCAATATGATTGAATTATGCTTATTTTTTGTATGCAAAACTAATCAAGTTAATTAATATATTTCTAATAATTTCTCTATACCTGTTTTTTTTTTTTTTTCGTACAAGAAAAATGAAGAACAAAATAAAAAGTTAAATGCACAACAAGATTAGTAAAAAAAAAAAAAAAAAAAGTACTTCAAACCAACAGGCGAGCCGACAAGGTTACATACAATCCAATCAGCACATCGATTTGTAACCTTGTGAATATAATTAATGCTAAAAAATTAGTCTTGGTCAAATAGTTTCAGTCAAATTACTATCCAAACCCCTGTGCAATTTAAAAAAAATTGTTACTTCTTTGAGAATCACTCTCCAATCTCCACCAGAACTCTCCTATAGCCACTCCTCCAACCTACTAAAATTCGTTCAGAAACAATTGATTGGTCATTTGAGAAACATTCTTTTTGACCGACAACATATGATATTATAGTGCGTTTAGTTGAGTTGTATCTATTTAAAACGTAAATATAGAATTTAATTTGTTAGTGTATTGGAATGCTACGTGTGGGAAAACAATAAGAAAATAGAAATAAGAAGAAGTGGAGGGGCACGAGAGAGAGGGAGAGAGAGAGCAGTGGTTAGTGGTTGACCTCGTGCTTAGTTGAGGCATATGAATGTGATTAACAGAGAAAAGCATGTTTAGGAGGAGGAAAAAGTGTTAATACTCTTTTTCTGGGATTCACCGACTTTTCTTCCATTACAGAGAAAGCATTAGATGGTTCCTTTAATTTGTTTGTTACTTGTTGGTGTTGTAGCTTAGAGTCTGATTCCCACCCCCACTACTATAATTATAATTATTACAGTATTAGATTTTGTGTTAATTAAATTAATCATGAATTTAATAATGCGGTTTTTAGTAAGCATTAATGTGTTCCACCTCCCATGCCGTACACGTGGCCCACCCAAGTAAATGATCAGTTTGGTGGGCCACATTATGAGTTGGTAATCAGCTCAAAGGAAAGTAGCTCAACTTTTTTTTTTTTTTTTTAATATATATTATATTATATATCTCAATTTAAACTAGACTAATCTTGAGTCTTTAACCAAAAGCTGTTGAAGGATGAGGTAAATCGCGAGTCATTCTGTCAGCCCTTCACCTCTGTCTGTACACTATGGTACAATGAGTTTTATCTCATCTCATCAGTCACGATCTCTCAATAACTTCCAAATTTTCAGTGAGATTCAAACCCTACCTCAACGAAGAAGTGGGTACCAAAATGGAGTCAGGTTACATGGTGCATCTTGATTGGTTGGAGAGTGGGGTGGGGGGAGGTTAAGTTGGACTTTTACAGTTTTACCCCTCCATTGAGAATAATTATTGGGAGTCAAGAAAAGAAAAAAGAAACATTGGAGTGTAGGCAATTGGAGTATGTAGTTGTCTACACTCCTAAAATTAGGTCAGATATGGCCATCAGAGATGGCCTTTTAACACAAGGGAGGATGGGTCTTGCCCAAGGATTGAAAGATGCTTGACCTTCTTGTCCTTTTGGTTATGTCATTTTCATTTCATTTTTTTTTTCCTTTAATAATTGTTTCTCTCTCAAGTCTCACCTTCCCCTCCCAACTCCCAAGTCCCAATGGCAAGGATGGGTCAAGAAAACAAAAGCACAAACCATTTGAGAGGAGGGGTTGAAAGTGCCAACTCCCTCACGGTGCTTCATATCCACCGTGCACGAAGATATAAGAGAATCAATCTCGAGACATTTCAGGGTCGGGCAGACGGGTAGATGACATTAGGGCAGGAGGAGGCAAGTAGGAAAAACAAATTGGGATTGGCCCACTTGACCTACATACATACATTACATACATTTACAATACCCTGTTCAAATGCATACTCGGATCCCACTTTGATGATAGCTTTGCTTTTACCATTCTGCCACAAAACAAGAAATTGCACATCTCCCTTCACATTATTACACAACAAAGAGATAGAGATTAGAGAGAGAGAATGGAGGGGTTGGGTGCTTTATAACGCAACGCAAATAAAAGGGGGTGTGACAGACAATTCATCAAACATGAATGGGGTCCACCCCACAACCCAATATAGAGGATCCTACTCAAAAGAGATCAACACACAACATGCACATAATAGAGCAACCTCAGAACTTATCCACAACACTGCCAAAGAGAAGCTCTGCTCAGATGAATCATCATATCATGCATTTCAGGGGGAGTGGTTTTATATACTTATATGCATTTCCAAAAAGCAAAAGCTAAGAGAAAAGAAAAAAGGGAAAATGAGAGTGCCATAGATCAGCTCAAAGGAGAGAAGGAGAGGCCTCAAATCTCAATCAATCATGTCTAATGCGTGGAACCCACACCACACTGGAGAAGGGCTACAGTGTGAGAGGGTCCTGCATATTGTACTTGCTTTAATGGCCGGACCTCGCTATCAAGCTGATCGGGGAACGAAGGGGGGAAGAGGAGGCTGGCTCACACTCTATAGCATGCATATCTGGTTTCATACACATATTTAGCATGCATTTATTATCCATCTTGAATCTCTAACAATATAACAATAAATTCAACAGTCAGGTGCTAAGAAACAACACATCTGAAGGAAGGAAATAAACAGTGTTCTACAAAGAGAGAGAGGTGCATAGAATAGATCGATCACTGACTGATATATGTTCTGGGGACCTGCTACAGCTTCAAGTCTAAAGTCTAAACTAACAGGAAGAAAAATAAGTAGATGCTCAATTCTTTCTATCAAAAGGGAATAATTATACTGGATGATGGTTTACTATCCAGATCTTCATGCTCTTCTGAATCTCCAATTCTCTAGGTCACCCTTCTTACAAAACCTCAAAGGAGGAGCGACAAATCAACCAACAAGTCTGTTCTATTTAGGTCACTGACCCTCAATGCTGCTTTACACCCCCATCCCCATCATCCCCTTCCCCTTGCAATTGTCAAAATGCTTCTTTTATCTGAAATGAACATCATGAAGGAAGAAAAAGTTCAAAAATAAATTACCCAATACACCAGTATTGTCGGCTGTCACGGCACCTTGCAGGAAAAATCACTAAATTAACCTCATATATGTTTCACAACTGGAAGACGACTGGAGCTGAATATCATCTTGATTGTCCAATTTCCCCTATCTGAATAAGCACCACGTTTGCACAACAACGCATGCAGGAGCAGGACCTTACTCGTGGGTCAAACAGCCATCAGCATAGTAACATCTTACATAAGTAAAAAAAATAAAGCTAATCATTGCTGATGCCTGCTAAAATCACTGAAAAAAAACCTTGCTCATCTCTTCTAACATCAAAAGATTTGCACAAACTTTGGTGCGTCGCATCTCGGTTCATCAAGAGACCGGTACATGTATACCGTGTCATATTCATTTGCTACCATGTCATATTCATTTGCATCCCTTCCCATTGCATTCCCATCGATCACTTCCACAACTAAGCGGGGTAGTTGGTGGGCAATTTCCTTGCAACATTGACGAGTAACCTTGCATGCTGACATCCAAACAAATCTCATGTTGTAATAGTGATGTATGCCAGAACGCAAAGCTGAATCTCCAAATGGACAGTCTCTGATTTCAAGTTTTTGCAGCTTAGGGCAACCCTCAAGCACATACTTTAGCCCCAAGTCACTATCTCCAGCAAAACCAACAGACAAGGTGCGCACAGATTTTCCATATTTTCCAATGTAACTAAAAGCCTGGTCAGTCAATAAACCAGATATGGAAAGACGTGTAAGCTTCTTACAGTTCTTAACAATTGCACCAAATCCTTCATCCATTGGTTCACCAGTAAGGTGGTCAGGCCTGTGCCGCCCCATTATGCAGAGACGGAATACCTCAAGATCCGGGCAGTTCTTTGACATGGCAATAACAGCTGCATTAGTCATTTTCTGGCAGAAATATAATATTGATTGAAGTTTCCTGCAACCCTCAGAAATTGCAAGCATACCAACTTCAGAAACAGGGCCCTCAGCGTCTTCTCGAGCATCAGCAGGGAAAACTCGAAGCTCTCGGAGATCCTTACATGTTGCAGCTACTGCCTTAAGTCCTTCATCACAGACTGAATCAAGCACCTGCAGGGAAAATTTTGAGCTTAATAAAACAAAATTCAGACCTCAAGTTCTGTATAAAGAGCCTTAAAATTTTCCAGCTGCATACCCATAAAATCTGAAGTTTGTGGCAGTGGCAAATAACTGGTTTGAGTTGTTCAGCACTGATGCTGGCATAGCTGAAATTAAGAGTGGTCAGGTTGGTACAAACTGGATATATAGCAGGCAGATAATCTGCAAGAATTTCCCTGAATCCAGAAAGATAAACTAATGATTTGCATGCTGCAAAAGCAGAAGTATAATCAAGTTCAAGTTCAGCCTCCTCTTCTGAGGCACCAAATGATCCTGTACCCAGATCGGTAAGCTGTGGAGCTCGAAGCATCAGACGATAAAGCTGCACAATGGAAACATGCCGATTCAACTTAAGTTTCTTCAAAGAAGGTGACCTCATCACCAGCTGCTCCAATGCTTGAAAATTTACATCGCATTCCACACAATCAAAGATCAAAGACTCAAGACATGTTTTAGTCTCTGGGAAACATGAAATCCAATCCACTTCATCATCTTTAACATCACAGTCAATCAGATCAAGCACCCTTAATTTCCTGAGATAAAAACCTTTCATTATACACGAGATAACCCACACACTATCTATACACTGCAATTTTATACATTCAAACTTTAAAAAATTCTCAACAACACATCCTGACAAAACATTTGAAAAGTTAATTCAACCTTTCTTTTTAATAGTGCATCATAGTTCACAACATTATACTCCGACTCATCAATGGGTAGCTGATATTGAGTAAATACCAATTTTAGTCCCACGAGTATTAGCAAAACAACATTTTTGATCCACATGTTTAATTCCTACCAAAACTCATCCCACAACTATTATTTTACTACCAAAGTTCATCACTCCGGTCACCGGAGAGGTTAGGACACGCCGGATTCTTAAAATAATACGGGTATTTTTGTCACTTTGTAATTAAAATCAAACTATTTTCTAAATTGCCATTAAACCTAATATTGGCCAATGCCTTGTAATTAAACCTGATCTGCCAATGCAAAAGAAACCTAATCAAACTATTACGACCAGCGAAATATATTAATTGCGACCCCATTACCCGTTAATTTTCTGTGAACAGAGACAACCAGTGTTAAAATAGAGAGCAGTACTCCTCCTAACACTGCATTTGAGTCAGCTAAATTAGATGATTTTACAAGATGCATTGATGAATCACCTTCCTTGGACACCAACACGCTAGCAGGTTGTACAGAAAACCAAATGAATGATGACAAGATCAATGGCAAATGTAATGGTCTGTTTGTGCAGTTTGAGCAATTGGTATTTGGTATAGATTTTTGCTTGCAAGAAAATACACAGATATGCCACCAGGAAGCAGAACATTTGATTAAATCTCATAGTTGATTTGAAGCTAACCCGTAGGTAAATATCATCAGAAATAAGAATACACGCTATTAATATGAGATTCCACCCAAAGTAAAAAAAGAACGGATATTTTGCAGAAAATCATTTAATATAAAAATATAAAAATAATAATAATAACAGAGAATTAAAATTTCAAAAAAAAAAAAAATCACCTAAAGAAAAGGATATCATTTAGGAATTTCAACGCCAAGAAAAGATTTTTTTTTTCCTTTAAACCTTAAAGAAATACCACTGACCTGCACTCACAGGCAACGGTAGCAAGTCCACTGGTCCCAAATTCTTCGCAACATGCCAGAACCAGCTCCTTGAAATTGGGGAAAGACCGGGCCAGCATCATCAGATCCTCGTTGGAGACATCAATGCGTTTGAGGTAGAGTTTCTCGAGTGCAGGATAAGCCACGGCCATGGCGGCGACCCAGGGGGAGAAGCGCGCACCCCAATCCCGCGGCAGCAAGCCGAAATCAGCGAACCGAGGCTTTCCCTTGACACTCATCGAGGTAACCCGGCCGAAGCGACGCGTGACGCGCTTGGGCGACACGGCGTAGCAGTTGCCGATGAACACCTCGGATCTGGTCATGGCCTCCGCCCGGTACCAGGACTTGCATACCAGCGACGCGCTGTTCCGGTCGCGGCGATCGCTGAGGAAGCACAGCACGTTCTCCAGCACATTCTCCAACACCTGATCTGAGTACGACGGAACGAAGCAGTGATCTCCTCCCCCGCCAATCGAGCAGATGCGGGGTTTAGCCGCACCGCCACCGCCGAGATCTGAAGCAGACGACGACGGCCGCGACGGCTCCTCGTCTTCGGACATTTCTGACCGCTCCTCGCTACTACTCGGACTCGAATTACTAGTCATGTGACTCATCACACGCCCGCCCCCCGGCCTCTCTTCAGATTTATCAACTGGATTCCTCTCAACTCTGTCTCAAATCTATACCAATAATATATATTATTATAATAATTAAAAAAAGAATATCGCCCAGACAGCAATCAATTTTTTAAAATATTTTTCAGATCATGGAAGAGTTGAGTTGAGGAAGGTGAAGGGCTCTTTGGCTTATAGCAAACCCTGCCGCCTGTGGACTATATCCACTCTTTTTCCTCTCCTTCTTCCGCTTCAACTACATATAAGCCTGCGATAGGAGGCGGAGGAGCACGGCGGAGAGCGGCGGCGGAGGAGGGAGCAAGCATTGGGATTTCTCCATGGTTATAAGCCTCTCCAAAGTCCAATTGCTTCTACTTCCATTACTTGGGGGTTTTCTTTCACTCATGCTTTTGTCTTTTTCTTTTTATTTTTATTTCTTTTTTTTATTTTTTTATTTTTTATCCTTTTTTCCCTGATGTGATTTGTATTTTATGTCGTTTTGGTAAATTGCGAGTGGTAGAAATAAAATATGGCGAGAGCGGGGTATGTGGGTTTGGTGGGAGAAACCGTTTTGTCTTTTGCAATTTTGCATTTACTGCCTTGTACTTTTTCCTTTCTCTAGTTTCGCACCCCACGTTCCCAATTTGATCACTAAATCTTATTTTGCTTAATTAAGTAATTTCCTACTATAAAAATAGCACTTAACTTTACATGGAAGTGAGAACAGTTAACTCCAATTTTTTCTCTTTACACAAATCAGGCAAATTAACTAACTTACCTTATGCAATTTTAGATGAAAGAGTTAATTTCATTTTTGTCATTTATAGTTTGTAATTCACTTTTACAGTGCGTTTGGTTGGAGAGAGGAAATTACGTGGGAAAGGAATTGTAATTCTATGGGAGATTAATTACTGGGAATAAGGTGGGAATTTAAACTCCAGTGTTTGGTTTACAGGAATAGGATTACTGTGAATTTCAATTTCAATCTTTGGTATACATGGGAATTGAAAGGGAATAAATAGTATAAAGTCCAAAATGCCCATTATTGTTGTTAAAAGGAAAGATCAGACATTCATTTTAGGTTAAAAAAGAGAAGGGTAATTTTATCTCATCAGTATTTTTTTTTCTTCCTAAAATCCCAGGAATTAAAATACCGGGGGGCATGAGATTTTAATTCCATGAAAATGATGGAATTGCAATTCCCTCCAACTAAATTACGGAATTTAATGGCCTTTGGAATTATGTGGGAATTAAGTGGGAAGGGAATTTAAAATCCTTCCAACCAAACGCCTTGTTAGTTCTTCTTTTTCAAAACATCATCATTTGGTCTTAGTATTAGTGTGACATGATCATTTTTTATTTCATTGTTGAAATATCGTTAAATAAAATGCTATTTTGATTTTTTTTATATACAAAGTCGGTTGACCCGTTATATTTTTATTTTTTATTTTTTAAAAGAAAATCATAATTGAAGACTTAAACGCTATTGTAGTTTACAAATTTTAAGCAGTTTTATTGATAGATGACCAAAAATTGTAATTCTACAATAATACTAGGACCAAATGAAAAATGTTTTGAATAAAAAGAATTAAAAGTGAAATGTCACCTATAAATCTATTACAAAAAATAAAACACTCTTACATGAAACATCAATCATGCAATTTTCCATCTTAATCGGGTCAACCTCGATTAAATTAATCAGATTATTTATTTAGTTATCACAATGTTAAAATTTTAATTTTCTACAAGAACGATTTATTGAGTTTTTTAATTTGTCATTGTACAATTGTACGCATTTAAGTAATGAACTGCAAATTTTATCGTCACTCAAAAAAATTGTTTAGGTAAAAGAATGTTGTTCCTTGGAATTTACTGCAAATAGTAAAAAATTAGAGAAAAAAAAATGTGAATATTTGGAGCTACGGACGGTATCGAAATGCAAGTGGGGTAGTGTCCCACTGTGGAGCTGAGGGGTTTTGGGTTCGATAATAGTGGTTGCCTCCCAGAGGGATCTAACGCCTGACTCACTGAGTTGAGTACAAAGCTGACACGCCCCACTTTTCCACCCTTTCAAATTAATATTTATTTAATTCGTTTATTAAATTAATATACCGTCACTTTTTACCACTCCTCTCATTTCCAGTTTATAACATCATTCATCAAAATAAATAAATTCACACTCAATCAATATTGATCATAATATAATTAATTATTCGCATCTATAAATTAATTGGTCAACAAATTCAAAATAATTTTATAAAAATGTATTTTACTAACCACTACAGGGTGCAGTCGTGCAAAGGTTATAGAGACACAAATGTACAAGCATTTGACACCTTTGTAAATCCTATAATTTACTTCCTCCACCAACCTCTAGGGATTGAAACGATAAGGGGCTCTTAATTTTAAAGTTCAAACTTATAATATAAATTTGTATCGTCTCAAGTTTATTCAATTATCTTAATTTTATTTGAGTTTTTTTTTTTCCAAACGGAATTTAAAAAAAATAAAAAATAGATAGAGAGATAAAGACAATTTCATATATGAGTTATAAGAAAATATTATTTTTTAATCTCTCAATTACACTTATTATCACTTTTGATTCCTTAATTATCTATAGAGTTACTTGTATCCATTAGTTCTATAATGGTTATGATAATAATAAAAAAAAAAATCACTTCACAAATAATTAAATAAAAAATACTTTATAGATAATTGAAGAACAAGAGTGTCACTTCCAAATTAATGTTTTAATGTATATATATTGTGTATATTACATTTTAGCATATAATTGATAAATTAAAATCTAAAAAATAAAAACAGGAATGACGAGAGGCGTACGGGTTGATTGGTAACGACGGTTAACGCAACGCGCCGTATAATTGAAGACAGACAGAAGTGAGTTGAGTAAATCTTCATTGCATTGATTCTTATTTTTGGATGGGTATGCTCTCTCCCCCTTCCTTTCAACTCACTACTTCCTATCATCACCACCAAAATTATTATTCACAAATTTTTTTTGTTAAAAAAATTGTAATAAGATCAATTAGATTGTAACTCAATATTTGTTATAAGTTGTGTTATTCGATAAGATATTTGGTATAATTTTTTATAACACTCCGGAAGAAAAAGTACTATAAACATATAACTAATGGGGGGAAATTTTCATTTTCCATTCAATTAAAGTACTTGAGAGGATTAGCTCTTTGTGTTTCAGTAGGTTGAGAAAGTATGAACAGATACTACAATGTAATAGAGCTAGTAGCATTCAAAAAAAAAAGTACTTGAGAGGATTAGCTATGACCATGTGCCAATATAATTGAAATACCTAGCTAGCTAGATTAACCTACAGAGGAGTTTAATGATTATGATAATTAATTGGTCAATTAATCATACAAAATTATCCATCTTCAATTCTTCCTTGTTAGAGCATCTACATCAGAGAAGAAATAGGGGAGAATTCACTACTTTTGAGGCCAAAATGCCATGGTGGCAGAGAGAAAATCAAGAGAGAGAAGGGGTGGGGAGCATCTGCAAATGTTGGGATATTACTCTGCCCAAGAAAAATAATTAATGATAAAGGATAAAGAACCAATAGAGAAATGACATGCTTATTTTTTATATATATTTTTTTATAAAATCAGTTTTGACTTCCCCCCCTCCCCCCTCCCACATTATTCTCTTTCCTACTCACTCTTACATTCTCCCCCTAATAACCCCAACTGATAAGGATGCTCTTAACCCCATCCATATTTAATTACATTAATAATGAAAGTATATATGAAACTATTAATAAACTATGTTGGAAGAGCGGGAAGAGAATAAATGAAAAGGACAGACATTGTAGACTACGATCCTAGAACTGATTTTATTACTTTAATTAATGTCCAAGCTCATTGTTACACTCTAATAATTAATATATATTACAATATAATAATACAAATGATGTACAGTTATTTTAAATATAATATATAAATAATTAAATATTATCTATTTCAACTGTTAAAAAATGTAATAGAGTCAATAGTTTTAAAAAAAAAAAAAATTGTTAAAAAAAAATAAAAATTTGACAAGAATGTCATAATTTGATTCTTATCAAGGTTGGTGGAACATACCAGAATGTTATAAGATCAATTTTTTTTTATTTTTTTTTACCAATACTCGTTCGATTGAGTCATAATACAAAGTCTTCATCGATCAAACTTATAACACAAGGCCTTACTAGTATGATTTATCGTTCTTGTATGATTTATAAGTTGACAAAAAAAAAAAATATTTATCACTTTAAAAATGGAGAAATTTGCTCTACTCGGCCTACCCCCTCTCTTTCTTTTCAACAAGTATCAATTCATTTTTTCCCTTATTCTTGCAGTCATTCGTTTTCTTTAACCAAACATTATTTTCTTATCTTTCTTAATTATGGTGGAGAAGTCAACTCCGGAATTTACATACCTATTAAACCGGCCTACCACTTCACTTACCTAGCTTAAACGTGTATTAATCATGTCTTATTGAAATTTTTATTCCATAAGATAGATGATAAATTATAATATCAGCATGATGCACTATTCTATAAATTATATATATATATATATATATATATATATATATATATAGAATAGTGTATTTGCTGATAACAAACAATGCATTCGAGATCTATAATAATAGTGCACTCACGTGAGTGCACTATTAGTTAACATTGATGTACTATTTTAAATGTATATATAACGTTATAATTACATAAATGTCACTATATTTTTCTATTGTTTTTTTCTTAAATTTAAATTCTAGATCATTCTAACTGGACGAATAAGATTAGTCCGCATATTTTTCACGAGGTTAATTACTAGTTCTCATAAGAGACGGACCTAATATATATATATATATATATATATATATATATATATATATATATATATATATATAAGTGATTTGATTGGGTGGTCAATATGTGGCTATTGATATAAACAGTACAGGCAATATATATATATATATATATATATATATATATATATATATATATGCTTACATTAACCTATCTTTTGAGACACAACCTTAAATTGGCATAAACTAAAATATGTTGTGCTACTGATAAATGAGTGCTGTATAGTACACACATATATTGGACTGCATTCTTAAAACCCAAGTCAGAAGATTCCAGTTTTAGAATATTGGCATGCTTTATTACAATGATTATAACAATTATAAGATCATGGAATTTTCTTGAATTTTATCATGTACTATTCTTAATTGTTTTCATTATAGGCAGGTTACGTTGTAACAGTAGTAACCTAACCAATATTATCAACAAACAAAAAAAGATTGTTTGGTCAAATATGGTTAAGAAAACAACATAAGAGATATATGTAAAAATGTAATTAATTAATGTGTTAATTAAGGTGGGGTCATTGATTAATTAAGTCCTAGATTAGATTAACTGTGCTAGATTTGATAAAATTGATGAGGTTGAGAGAGACTAGTGTGGGTGGGAGCACTTTGAATTGGTTAGAAGGTAAGTAAGCAATATATTATGATTATCTCATAAATCATGCAATGCAAATTTTGTAATATAATTAGGCCTTTAGGCCGTTCCTTTACTTGTCAACACATCAAAAATAGTACCATATAATTAATTATTATCTCTGTAAAAATAAAAACAAAAATAAGAATAAAACAGGAAAAAGAGAGAAGATTTGCTGCTTCTAATCAGTGTTTTAAAAGGGACAATTATAGCAAGATGGTAAGGTTATCATTGATCCCACTTCAGTTACAAGCATGTAATCCCTTCACATCATTGTGTTCCTAAATTACTGCATTTTTCTATGCTCCTCTCCTTGGGACCTCAACACTTTTCTTCCCTTCTCACTTAAAACTCATTTTCTTAACTAATAATACTAATATTAACATAATAGATTATTTGAAAACGGACAAGTATTTGAAATCCTAATTCATATAAAACACACCGGACAACGATGTCTATAAACTCGACGATATATGTACTAATATAAGTGTAGAAATTGCGTGGAGACTCAATTTGTCACTCGGATCGATAATAATCTTATAAGAATAGATCGATTATTCGAAAACTAGTAAGTACTTGAAACCCTAATTCAAATAAACACTTCAGATATTTGTAAATCTGATGATATATATATACTAACATAAGTAGAAATTGCGTGCAGACTTAAATTGTCTCTTGATAATAATCTTACCACAATAGATCGATTACTTCTAAATAGGTAAGTATATGAGACTCTAATTCAAATAGAACACTTAAGATGTATGTAAATTTGACGATATATACTAATACAAGTAGAAATTACATGTAGACTCAATTTGTCTCTCTATCACACTCATATATGTGTTATTTTTGTAACCTAGATGCAATGAAATAGAGAACAAAGATAGTGAGAATTGGAAAACTAGATAGATAAAGAAAAAATATATATAATTCTGTTGATTCCCTTGTCATCATATCCTAATATATAATGAGGCACTTACATTATGAGAATGTTAATGATAAGCACATAAGAAAATACAGTGCCGAAATTCTGTCTGGACTCATGCGCAACCACTATGATTATCTCCTATCCAATGTTAATTAAGCTTTGCTTAATTGCTAATAAGGCTCCTCTTATAATATAAGTGTACCTATTTCCATGCATTTTACCATTTCCTTACATACTTATATACTTACATGTCACAGATTCGAACTTCAAACTTTTTATGCGCTTCAGTAGGTTGAGAAAGTATGTACATTATATCATTGTCAATTCACATTACTCATAAATTTTTGTTAGTTATTACAAATGAACGTGATTTACTTAGTGCATATCATCATTGAGTAATATGTACTGATATTTTGCTCACTTAAAACATAGAAAATGGAGTTCTCTATGTATGTTAGTTAAAATGGAAAAGAAAAAGAAGGGGTGAGGACAAGAAGTCGAGGGGAAAATAAAGCACAAAAGTGGAAAAAGTAGAACACAAAAGAAAAGGCATTGACATGATTTAACTCATCCTTTTGTTAGGGGTGTAGCTTTATAAGCTATGGTGCTAGTAAAATAAAGATGGAGCTATATATGAGCTATGTGGTACTCCCTCCCCTTTCCCTTCACACATTGAGAAGACAGAATGCAGGCAGGTGAAGTTGTTAAGAGTCTTTGATTAAAATGAACTACCAAACATCATTCTCCGTCAACACTTACGTGATCAAATTCATATTATATTTCTCATCCTCAGCTCATTACTATAATCAGATATGACTTCTATGAATTAAGTTTAAAAAGATTAAAATACTTTTTACAGTACTCACTTTCAAGTATTGCTTTTTACAGATCGTTAAAAAAAAAAAAAAGGAGTTGATTAGTAGGTGAAAGACAAAATCAAAGACTCCATTATTGTAAGTTGGTGTAAGGTTGCATTGGGCCAATAAGCAGAAGTTGGTCTGGGCTTTCCAGCACTTAGCCAGCTTGCAATCACAAAAGTTGTCCGGACAAAAATTGAAGCTGCCACACCCCTGTTCCCCTATTTAACCTTCCCATTTTCCCATAACCACTAACAACCAACAACGTTAACGTTAACGTTATCTCTTTTCGCAATCCTTAATCCCAGTAATCCCAATCAAGTTGGTTAAATTATTATTATTAATTTAATAATTATAATATTTCAAGTTTTATTTTCAGTAAATATTTATTGATCTTCTTAGTTTGAGCAGGTCAGACTAATCAGCTATAAATAATGCTTTACCGGGATATGGTTGCAAGACAATTATTCAGTGTGTATACTCACATAGTGACGATGAGTTTCTTCAATGACTGTTGTGTAGATCATATTATCAAATAATGTATATTTAGTATACAAATAATATACTTTTAGTATATTAAAAATATACATTATATTCAAGAAAAATATATTATTTGAATAAAATGTACATTCAATACACGAATAATATACATTTAGTATATTAAAAATGTACTTTTTGTTATGGTTCAATACTGTATGAATCATGGTCCACATAATAATTTGTCGTGTTTAAAAAAATTAGTTGTGGTGCCCTAAGCAGTCCAATTTTACAGCCCAAGAAAATATAGGCCCACCAGGCTTACGATTGCAGCCCAAGCGCCGAAAAACACGTGACCCAATTCTGAAATCTCGTTTTCTTCTCCACGTCTGCAAATTCGGAGGGAACGAAGAAAATCAGACGGTTATCCATCATGAGCTCCGACCCGACGCCGAAACCCGATCACTCCTCCGACTATGCTCCATACCCGAAGCTGGACCCGAAGGATACCGCCCCTGTTCCACCCTCATGGACGGGCAAGACGGCCTCCACCATGCCCGCCGACTCCAACCCCTACGTCTCCCCTGCTCCCGCGCCCGGCCCCGGCTCTTCCGTCAAAAGTGAGCATTTCTTCTTCTGTTATTTATACCGATCATTGTTTCGATGAACTTTGCCAGTTCCTGAAACGATTCTCTGCTTGATGCTCTGAATTGTTCGATAACTGCCAGATTTTAGTTAGAAACGAAACTGATGTTTAGACGTTATGATTTTGATATTTACCAGATAGAATGGATGAAATGAAAGATGCACTTGGGAAATGGAGAATGAAGGCGGCTGAGAAAACAAAGAAGGCTGAGGATCTTGCTGGAAATGTCTGGCAGCACTGTAAGTCTCACTATGATTCCAGGAACTAATGCTCAATTTGTAATCAGGAGTTGCTAAATTGGCTTGTTGAAGCACTTATTATTATTATTATTATCATTTGCAATATTTTTTAGTGTAGTTGATTATTTGTCTTGCTTACTCTTAGAGTTCTGTGGATTGTGGTTATAACTTTGGTTTGATCAGTGAAAACCGGCCCCAGCGTGACTGATGCTGCTGTGGGAAGGATTGCTCAAGGAGCAAAGATTTTGGCAGAAGGCGGGTATGAGAAAGTCTTCAGACAAGCATTTGAAACTCTCCCTGAGGAGAAACTGTTGAACGCTTATGCGTGCTACTTGTCTACTTCTACTGGACCTATCATGGGCACTCTTTACTTGTCTTCTGCAAAACTAGCATTTTGTAGTGATAATCCTGTTTCTTATATTGTTGGTGACCAGACACAATGGTGCTATTACAAGGTATGGTACTTGGTATTCCATATGCTTGATTAAATTGTCTTGTTGGAGAGTGACAAGGTGGTAATATGGTAAGTGTGTTTTAATGCAAAAGAGATATGCTATACATAGATGATCAGAAGGGGACTAGGATTGATACTTTGGTGCTTATGTGGTCATTGCTGTGAATAAAACAAAGGAAAACAATTCTTGGTAGTTAAATAATACTGAGTATAAAGTTAGAATGCATAGAAGAACAAGTCTAGTTGCTAAGTATATGACATTTTTCATGAATGGCTCACACGGATATTTGATGCCACTTGCTGTTTGGCGTTTTGTCTGTTTATTGAACATGCATCATATTTTAGTTCTCAATCTATGTGAACTTTTTCTTTCTCAGGGTACACCCTTTATTTGTATTTCTATCCTTTTACAAATTGTCTACCCTTCCCTTATAGTATGCGAGACAATTGACTAAAATGATTAAGAGGCTTGCAAGACGGGTTTCTGAGATGTACTACTATTCAGTCTGTTTGGGTCCATATGCTGTATTAAGATCTTTGATATGTTTCTATCATTTTGCAAATTTCATATACTAGTTGTCTGATTAGAGGGTACTTAACTGAATCATATATGCACATTGCATTTTTTTCCCCTCTTCAATCAGGTCATTCTGCCAATAGATCAATTGAAATCGGTTAATCCATCAGCCAGCAAAGTAAACCCAGCTCAAAAGTACATCCAGATTATCTCTGTTGATAGTCATGAGTTTTGGTTCATGGGATTCATGAATTATGATGGCGCTGTAAACACTTTGCAAGGTGCTTTGCAAGGAGTTCATCCATAGTTGGTGTTCCTTTCCTATCAATTCAGCTTAAATCAAATGATGTGTATATTGGTGTTTGGCATTTATGTGGAATGTGGTGTATATTCCAAGGCTACTCTACACTGGGTTGTTCTTCTCTTAATTTATTTTTAGTTGAAGGATGAAGATAATTAGTTGCATTTATCTGTATTGAGAATATTGTATTAATGGAAATGAAAGTATTACACTATTACATTTGAGTCTTGAGAACTTTGAAGTGGATATTAAAGTCATAATGGGCTTGAGAGCCCACTATGATGAAAACCCATACTAATATTAGAAAGGTTTTGCATCTTTTAAGAAGTTGCTAACTTAGGGCTGGTTGGACCAATAATGGTCAGTGCAGATTTTCAATCCATGAATTCTTACCATATATTTCCCATCTTTAGAGCTGTTAGAACAATCGTTATGCTATGGACCCGTGTCCAGCATGCATGCTGGACACTGTTATAGGAGTATATGTTCATAATTTTATTACTATATGTTCATAATTGTAAGTTTATAATGTCAGAGCTCTATGTTCATAATTCCATAACTGTACATTCATAATTCCGTAACTGTACATTCATAATTCCATAACTATACATTCATAATTCAATAACTGTTACTTCATAATTTTTGAAGCTCTATTTCACAATTTTAGAGCTCTATGTTCATAATTTTATCACTATATGTTCATATTGTAAGTTCATAATGTCAGGGCTCTGTGTTCATAATTGCATAATTGTACATTCATAATTGCAAAACTGTACATTCATAATTCCGTAACTGTACATTTATAATTCAATAACTATAAAATCATAATTTTCGAAACTCCATATTCACAATTTTAGAGCTCTATGTTCAGAATTTTATCACTATATATGTTCATAATTGTAAGTTCATACTGTCAGAGCTCTGTGTTCATAATTTTATAACTTACATTCATAATTCCATAATTGTACATTCATAATTCCATATATGTACATTCATAATACCATAACTGTACATTCATAATGGCACAAACGAATAACGCCGTTAACGGCGAGACAAAATCAAATTTTAAAAAAAAAAAAAACTGGAATGACGCTTTTTCCCTGAAAACGACGTCGTTTTGGACTCGTGGTCCAGGACATAATTTGCTCTGTTAGAAAAGGTTGGCCAGCCATTTGGCAGATCGGGCCAACCTCCTTAGCCCGTCTTGTCTTTTTTTGAGTACTACTGACTATGTTATGACAAATTATGTTGTGCGTCCGTGTGCACCATGCATGATGCACACGGATGTAAAAACGGTGTCGTTTTACTTAAAAAAAAAAAATCATATTCGATTGCCGTTAGTTACGTAAATATATGTTCACAATTTTATAATTTCACATTCTGAATGTATAGTTATGAAGTTATGGATATGTAATTATGCAATTCTGAATGTATAGTTATGAAGTTAAGTATATATAGTTATGCAATTCTGAATGTATAGTTATGAAGTTATGAATGTGTAGTTATGCATGCAATTTTGAATGTATAGTTATGAAGTTATAGATGTGTAGTTATGCAATTCTGAATGTATAGTTATGAAGTTATGGATGTGTAGTTATGCAATTCTGAATGTATAGTTATGAAGTTATGGATGTATAGTTCAAATTATGCACAACATAACGCCGTTAATGACAATCGAAACTTTTTTTTTTTTTTTTTTTTTTTTTTAAAGTTGGACGTCAAAACGACGTCGTTTTTGTGACTGTGTGCACCATGCATGGTGCACACGGTTGCAGGGCATAACGCTCCCTATGTTACAATGCAATATCTATTTATAACTACTTTCTCAACCTAATGAAGCACAAGAGTTAATATTGAACTCCAAATCCACAACCTTCCATATGGAAGAGCGACTTGGTGCCACTAGCCTGTCTTATCTAATCTCTCTACTCAAGTGAACTTGTCTATTTAGATTTTACCTCTTAGCAGATTACTAAAATCTTAAGTCAACTCATTCTTTAATTTATGAGAAAGTTTATAGTTGTTATCAAAGCAAATGGTCACGTGCTAATAAACAGTTCTCACAAAGATTTAAATTTGAAACTTTATGATTATCAAGCCAACTGTTTCACCAACTTGATTAGAAGTTGCCTCAGCTCACATTCTTATTATTAACTGAGAAGTGTTGTACTCAACTCATTTTGACAACTTTACACATCTCATGTGAAGTATATGAGGGGACAATTAAGATTTGATAATTACAGCGAAGCTTTGAAGGTGGTCTAGCAGGTAGATGAGAGAATTGTGTTATGATTATGTTAAGCAACAAACAAATGAGCAAAAAAACAAAGAAGCAATCAATTAATTTTTGGATGAATTGAGTATTACGTGTTGTGTGTGATTACATGCATCAAATATCAGTTGGAAAAGATGAGAGATGAGAAAAAGAGGGAATCTGATGGGTGGGATATGAATATTGGATGAGTAGACATAATGACAGCTTCATGGAAAATGGTAAACCAATATTGTGATAAGCCATTGGAAAACACAGAAAGCTAATAATGGAGTGATGGTCCACTGAATTCACCATTATCTATCTCTCTGGGCTTGGGACAGAGAGAGAGAGAAACAAAGCAATAATAATAGCGGCAATTAGAGAAGGATGTAAGGCAATAAACCAAAATTAAGAAAAGGCTGCAAAAACATGACGGAAATGGAAATGAAGGTCAGAAGCTTAGGCCCCCTTTTCGTGGCGTGTTGTCACCATCCCACACAAAAATACATAAAAACAAAGCTGAGGAAAAAGAAATAAGAATCTTTGAGTGGTTTATTAGGACAGAGGTTTGCTCACTTGCCGCCCCCCCCCCACTTAAATTAATCAATACATACACTCAATGAATTGAAGCTAATCTAAGGCCGACGGAGAGGTGAATTTTCAGGATTTCAGTTGTAGGGTATAGCGTTTCAGCCTCTCTTCTCCATAATTCTATACAGCAAATTGGGTCCTTTGTACAGCTTGCGATTATTGGTAGGTGAACTAGCCATTACTTTTCCTTTTTTTTTTTTTTTTTTTTTTTTGAAATTTTCTTTTCTTTGAGTATACATTGTCATATATATATATAAATATAATAATTAGGTTAAAATGATAACCTCTCTTAACATGTGAATCTATGTACCATTTTGCATTGTTGATCTTGTTCGATTTTGTGGTTTAATTATAATGATTTTGACCTGATAAATATATATCACTGCGCCAACTACACCATTGCATCACTCCTCAGATCGCGACTATCCAATCTCGCATCTCAACGGTGCATATGAGTTTAGATCAACGCCTCTAAAAAAAGAAAAATCTATACTTGTAATATAACTTTGTGCATCTGCAAAATAAAATTTATGGACCTAAAGAACAAAACTTGTGCACCTGACAAACAAAACTTATGCACATGAACAAAAATTATGCACCTAAAGAACAAAAGTTGTGCACTTGAAGAACATAATTTATGCACCGGACGAACTAAAGTTATACAACTGAAGAAAAATATTTGTGCACCTGAAGAACAAAAGTTATGCACTTCAAAGTTAGAAAAATTATAAAAATGTCACTGTATTTTTTTTTATTTTAAATTTTCTTCATTTTGAACAGTTGATTTGGACTAGATCAATGACTAAGATTCAACCATATATATATATATATATATATATATATATATATATATATATATATATATATATATATAAAGGGTGAGAACGGATGCGAATGAGAGAACTAGGAACCAATCACAATCATATCCATAAAAAGCGTGTTTAAAAAAAATTCCTTCAGTTTTAATCGTTGATATATATATATATATATATATATTACCCCAAAATTAAACATGTTACAGTATGAAGGAAGGTCGTTCAGTTATAGGGGATAGTGAGTTTAGTTTTTAAATTATTAGTGTATTCACTTAGCTTGATTGTTAGTTTTCAATGTATTTCTTTGATATGCAGTTACTTAAAAAAGTAGTCACTTCGTCTTATTTTATGTGTCTGATTCGATTAGTAAGTCTTTATTAAAATTATTTTAATTTCATTTTTTAAACTATTAAGTTTAATATTAATATACAAAATTTATATATTTAGAAACTATGACACTAAAAGTACTATTAAACACATAAATCAAATTTAAAAATAAGTAAAAATAATAATAAAGAAAATAAACAAAGAATAACGAAAGAATTAGTTTGACCCATGAATAATAAGTATGACACTTAAAATGTGACGGTGGAGTATTATTTTGGTGTAAACTTGGAGATGAAATTAAATAGTGCAACAATATTGTGTTCAAAATGATCTCAATTTAATATAGATGTAGAATTTACTGAGTGCAGATATATATATTCTGATAGTGACAATAAGTTTATTTCGTAAAAAAAAAACAAAAAAACAAAAAAAAAACTTAAATCTATGCTATTGGACCACAAATTAAAGTTCCTGCCATTCAAATTAATCCTTTGCAGGCACTAAATTCAGTTTTAAATCAAACTAAAAAAAAAAACAAGCTTCACATGAATAACGTAGAAGAGCACCCCCCCCCCCCCACCCCCCCAAAAAAAAAAAGAAGTTTAAGCTAAAACATCATTTTTGATAATTCAGGTAATCAGTTACTGTTCCTTGCACAATAATTAACAATTTGGACAGTCCTATATGGATTCCATTTTTATATTAATTTTGTACTATCAATTTTCATAAAATGTGAATTAATTCACAAATTAGATCACCTATGATAAGTCATGATTATTTAGTCGACTATGACAAGTCATGATCATTTAGTACAAAAGTCGATATAAATTAAATATTATTTTCTCAACCATTTTAGTTGGAACCTTTTTGTTTTAAGTTTTTTTTAGATAGAACAATATTTGGGATATTTTGATTGATTTGCTGGTTATTAATTATTATTGTAGTTATTAGAACATTTATCGTACATAAATGTTTAAAATTAAAAAGGTGTATTTGTTATTAAGGTGGATTTTTGGTAAGGGTTGTTGTCGGAGTTTTTAGGGTTAGTTACTTGGGACAATATATTAATAACCTTTTTTAATTTGTTTGGTTTGTCAATACTCCCATGTTGTGTCTGAAGATGTTAGGTGCAGCTTAGGGTAGGGATATAACTTTTGGTAAGGGTCGCTGATACATCATTTTGTTATTATTGTGATTTATTTTAATATATAATTTATCATATCTATAAATAATTATTATTTTGTGATGCTAGGACAAACACTAGGCTAGAAATGTTAAAAATTAAAAGAAACGTAATCACATCTCACCAACTATCGGTGGTTAAAAAATAAGCGAATATTATTGGGTAGATTGCATCAACAACGTGTGAAGACCTAACCGTAAACAATCATCAGGATGTGCTGTAATCTGATTAGCATATTCATTCACCTCTCTATGTATTAATCGCCCCAGGGACATAGATGAGTGATCGAAAGCCTGAGTGTGGGTGTAGTGCCCAACAATTACCCGTACTCATCTTTTTAATAGGAGAGGATCTCAGCTTAGGAAAAAAAGTAAAACGTTCATACTTATCTCGCAATTTATCTCTTCTCACAATTCCTGGGCAGGGGGAGGGGCGCCCTCAAGTTAAACATATATATACAATAATCATTTTGGCATGTAAAATGTGGTCAAATGGTGGAGTATGAAGTTTAGATTTTTGTTAACACATTGTCAGTCGAACTCGTTGCACGATAAATTTAAGGGGTAGGGTAAATGTAATGAAATACATATGCAGAATAGAAATGCAGTATAATATTTGGTTGTACTCCATTGTTTCTTAGCTGCTACATATATATAAAATAATTTTCAAGTAATTATAAATGTAAGGCACTTTGAATATAATTCATATATATGTATGTGGTTTGATTAAATGGATTTGCTAAGAAATTGGGAGAAAAAGAATGGCTCCCCAGTCCCCAGCAGCTGACATGACGTACGTACGATGTCGCATCATAGTTGTTCCCAGGCCGGTGTTGTGTTTTCATCCTTTGAGAGTTTGAGGTTGGCATCACATGTGCCTTCTGCTACATACCTACTGTCCGGTTTTTTGTTTTTGTTATTGTTTTTTTTTTAAAAAAAAAATCATAAAATGTTTGTGATAGGAATCGAACTCTCGAACTATTATTAAAAAAGACCAATCAGATTTGAACCAACGACCTCTCGATCTGCAATCAAATGCTTTGCCACTGAGCTATGGACCCTCTGTTTTTTTTTTTTTTTTTTTTTTTAAATTCTATATATATAATTAAATTCATTGCAAACAAAAATAAAAAAAATTGAAAGCCCCTCTTAATTACTATAATACTTTTCCTGTTTAATTTGAAAGTGTTAGACTATAGATCTGAAAAATGAAGTTCTTATCTAGCTTAGATATTTTTATGCTACGATAAACAAACTGTTAATGCAATTATAAAGTTAAAAATAGCGATGATTCGCTATACTAGATGCTGTATGGGAAAATAAATTATTCCAACGACTATGTCTTAATTAATCCGGGTCCAAATCAACTAACCCGAGATAGAAAAGAATAATAAGATAATAGAGATAATAAAGAAATAAGATAAATATTTTGCTAGAATATTTCTTGGATAAGTGTTTGTGTGGTACAAAGTTGTGTAATGAGAGAACATGATGATTGATGATATCTTGGCCTAGACAAGGCTTAAGCCGCTTAACTATACAAACCAGTCCCCTAACAAACCCCCTAAAAATAAAGCGGCCTTTGAGACAAGGTCAAGACCCAACTAATTTGCCTATGACTAGGTCAAATGTGAAGGAGTTATCAGGTAAAAAAATGGGTGAAATCTCAAACATTGATCCAACCAAAATCAACAGCTCAAAATGAGGATTTTTTTTTTTAAAAACGCGGTGACATTATGATAATTTTGCGTAAATTCAAGCTTAAGGTGCGTAAGTTTATAGCTTAAGGTACTTTAGATGCTTAATTTTTTTTTATTATTTTTTTTAGCTTAAGGTGATTAAGTTTAAAGCTTAACTTGCTAAAATTTACAACTTAAGGTGCGTAAGTTTATACTTAAGGTGCGTAAGTTTATACTTAAGGTGCATATGTTTGTGCATTACTTTCTAGTTTAAGGTGCATCAATTTAACTCTTACAACATTTTTGATTCGTGGAATATGCCTGTAATGGAGTAGCATTCTCGAAAATAGGCTTATCACTTTCTTTTCCTTACCTGGCCTATTCCATTTCCTATAGAATACTATTCCTATTTCTTTAAAATTCATTCTGTGAACCATTGTTCCTATTCTTATTTATTTATTTATTTATTAAACGCATCTTGAGGTCATCCGAGATAGCATTGGGTACCTAACGAAAATTAATTCATTTTTCATTCGAAGTACCCCCTCCAAAAAAAAAAAAAAAAAAAACTTTTAAAAACCTAGCTATGCACTTTCATTAATAAAGTTACTATTGAGAATCATCAAACTTTGGACTACATGTGTAAAGTCCTAACTCTCGTACTATATAGTACTCAACTTTTGCTTTACATACATATACCAATTCAACAATGTACAGTAAGTTAACACACCATCCAACCAATTCAACACGTATACAGATATTTTGACAATCTAAATTCCTTGTAATATTATCAATGATAGATAATCTAATTAAAAATTCTATAATAATTTGTATAAAATAATTACAATTTCTTTTAACAACTTAACCAAGTTGATCAGACTATTAACTTCATAATAATAATAAGGTTATAAATTCAACTCATAACAAGAGCAGTTTATTGGTTTTTTTTTTTTTTTTTTTTTTGAGTTGGGTCAGTCATGCGCTTAATCGCTTACTTCCTTGTGGTTCTTTTATTGACAAGAGTCATAATGTTGAGTTTATCCGGTGTATACTCTCAAATAGTGATTGCAGATTCTTTCCTAACTCAAAAAATAAAAAATTTAATAATTACAGTTTATGCTCTATAATTGTGGCAGACCCTATTTTAATAATTATCCAGGATTAACGTTAAGTTTATTAAAGCTTTGTTTTTATTTTAGTGTGCAGAAGAGTGAACACAGAAATGAAAATGGATAGCTGTGGCGGAGGCACGGCGGTAGCAGCCATAAATGGCGACAAGTCTCCCGATTTCCGATAGCCGCAAGTTGTTGTTTCCAAATGTTGAAGCACACACATCTTGTGTTTTCTTCCCCAAACAACCTGGTGGGGTTTCAAACCTATTCTGGGGATCCATAATCCATATCACATAATGTCTGGGGTCCTGTCACTTATTTATATATATATATATATATATATATATATATATATATATATATATATATATATATATATATATATATATATATATATATATATACACACCCCCACCCCTACCCTGTCACATTTAACCTTATATTCACTCTCCATAGATACATACATACATATAGATGACAATTACAGTGTGGGAGTTACACCTAATATGACGAAATCGTTACTATGTATCACACGGGTCAAAATACAGAGCTCCGGGTGAAAAAGTTCGCCTTTTGTAAGCAAATATAATTAGTGATAACCCGAATTAAAAAATGATGAAATTAAAGAAGCAAAGCAGCAGGCTTTAATTTGTCAGCAATTAGCATGTAGAAGACGTCACCAGTGTCAGACACGTTATTTTCCATTTTCATGCTTACTGGAAAGTAATTTCAGAACCATAAGGCTTTTACCATTATTTGCCTAAATATTCTCAGTCCATTGAAGCAATCAACCCTAGTGTTCTCACCTTAGGGAGCAACCATTTTCACCTCCTTTTTTTAACCGCACACCTTACTTAATTAACACAGTACAAATTAAAGACTAATTAACTAATCACTAATTACTGATCACATTGTTTAGTAAATATGAGGGTTGAGTGTTAAGAGTAATGGAAACATATACTAACCCTCCTATCATTTCACTTCATTTATTTAATAATATTAATATTTCTGAATTGTTTATTGCAGAAAGGGTAATTCATGTCCACACCCTTCTCTTCTTCTTATCTCCTTCTTCTCTGATCACCTTCTCCCATCACTAATCACTAATCTTTTTATTTTTCAACTCCTTCTTCTTACTATATATATAGACACAGAGTTTTGTAATTAAACCAAAACCATATTTACATACACATTTATATATGTGTGTGTATTTGTATGGGTTTTTGGAGTTTGAAGAATTGATTGTAATTGATGGATCTGATATGATGTAGATTCTTGTGAAATTTTAAGAAGCGGATATATAAGAGGATGGAGATGGAGATGGAGTTTGATGAGGAGCGCGAAGAGGAGATGGAGATGGAGGATATGGAGGAAGCTGGGAATTATCAGACGCCGGCGGGGAGAGGAATGGAAGGTGCTCCGGCGGGGGGTGTTGGGAGGAAGAGCGGCGGCGGGAGCGCGGCGGCGAATACGACGACGAATTATCGGTATAAAGAGTGTTTGAAGAACCATGCGGTGGGGATTGGCAGGCACGCGGTGGACGGTTGCGGCGAGTTTATGCCGGCGGGGGAGGAAGGGAGTTTGGACGGACTGAAATGCGCGGCGTGCAATTGTCACCGGAACTTTCACCGGAAAGAGGCGGAGAGTGAGGGGTACGCGCGCCACCAAAGCCCTCATCATCACCTCCACCCGCTCCACCACCACTTCTCCACTTTCTCCTCCTACCGGTCCCCCCACCCGTCCGGCTACCTCCACGTCACCCCGCCGACGCAGCACCGCCCGCTGGCGCTCCCCTCCTCGTCCCGGGACGAGGAGGACATGTCCAATCCCAGCAGCAGCGGCGGCGGCGGTTCAAAGAAGCGGTTCCGGACGAAGTTCACGGCGGAGCAAAAAGACAAAATGCTGGCGCTGGCGGAGCGGTTGGGGTGGCGCATACAGAAGCAGGACGAGGCCGCCGTGCAGCAGTTTTGCGCGGAGGCGAACGTCAAAAGCCACGTGTTCAAGGTCTGGATGCACAACAACAAACACACCCTCGGTAAAAAACCCTAATTTCCTTTGCTTTCATCTTCCTTAAAATCACCAGTACTTGAGAGACCTCCCATGGCGGCTTCCTTCCTATGCATATGGAAATGTCATTATTATTTAATTAACCATCCAAATCATCACTTCAGAACACTCAGATTAAGAAACTATTTAGTTTAGGGTTCCTTAATCTCCTATCCAATCATCTAATCCCATCCTATCCTTTAATTAACCACCCAGTTCTCTTTTCCCCCTTAATTTTGTATCTTTCTCTGTAGACTGTAATACAGTACCGATTAATGAGTTTCAAGATCATCATTTCTTCAACTAAACCTTCACTTCACTCTTTGAATTTCTGACATTGATGATGATGCTGCAATTCACTTTTTTGCATTTTTTTAAAAAAATTTAATGACGAAAGAAATCCCAGTGATTTTAAAAATAAGAATCATGTTTCATCACTCGACATAGTACTGTGCTTTTATAGTAGGAATCAACATATGTATTTTCCCAGATACAAAGCAAGATTATTAGCTATATATCTCTGATACGTGTTTGACATGCAACGGAAAAACTGGAATCCGGTTTTTCTTCAATTCTGCCATTTATTTATATTAATTACTGCTAAGCTAGCCTGCAGCCTGCAGGCGGCTTTTACTGCTTTCAGTTCATCTTAACCTGCATGCATTTTGCCTTGAAATATGTGGTCTGATCTGCCCTTCACAAGTTCTGATCTTTTATTGTTTTCCTAACTCAAACAAAACTGTTCTTTAAAATAAACCTCGCTTCATTCGTACATACGATTTAATTCCGCAACGTTTCGTCCATCTATCACCGTATGTCTGATGTTTATGTGTCGTACCTCGTCTGGGATCAAAGTACACATACTTTGTATGTATGTTTGCTAAATTTGTACTGAGTTTTACTACATGTACTTCCAAATCTTACTTCATTTGAAAGGTGGTTTTGTCTGTTGGAGAAAGAGAGGTATAAGGAAGGAGCTGTCGGAAAAATATCACAAAATGGATCGGTACGGTCGTGGCATGCTACTGCTGCCTGCATGTGGGCTGTCTGCAATCCCTTGGATGGAACTTGTCTTGTCACTTTAGTTGATCGGAGATAAATCAGCATAAATTGAACTGATCAGGGTTAATACACAAATTTTGTAATAACGAATAATTTTAAGATGGATAGGCAAAATCCCACAAGCTCTCAATGGAGCTAGGAAACTTTTTTCTTTTAGGGGGTGTTTGGTTGGATGGAAATCAAATTTCATGGAAAATGTTTTCCTAAAAGTGTAGGAAAATGTTGTTTTATGTTGTTTGGTTGGATGGAAAATCTTTTCCATAGGAAGTTGAGTTCCTAAAGTTGAAGGAAAACAAAATCCTAGCAAGACATTGGTATTTTGTTTTCCAAAGGATTTGGGAAGAAAGTATTACAATATTGGACTATTTTACCCTCCTCAAAGTTTATTAATTACACATGTATATATTATTGTTAAGGGCATATTGGTCTTTATATTCATAATTCCTTACCATTCCAAACCCAACCAAACAATAGAATTCATATTCCCAGTAATTTCTTTTCCACCAACCAAACAATGGAATCCATTTTCCTGGTAATTTGTTTTCCATGGAATTTGAATTCCATTTCCCATCAAATATTTTCCAACGAACCAAACGGGCTGTTAATGTCTTGGCCTAAGCTACCACCATTAGAATGTACAGTGCTATTAATTATTTGAAGATTAATATAATCCTTTGATAATCCATCCTCATCAAGGTCGACTAATATCTAGATTTGTACTATACTACTGTTCAATATGGTTGTTGGAGGGTGCGGTGCACATTGAACATAGGGTAATATGGTAGTAGTTACACTCGATATCAGAACTTAAAGGTGGCCCCTGAGCATTAGTGAAGCAAAGGTTAGAAAGAAACAAGTGTCAACAGCGTTGTTGACAATTGAAAGTGGGGACGAGGTTCAATTCCAACTGATGATTATATTTGGACGCTAATTCAACAAGCTTTTGATTCTTGACTTATTGAGACCACAATTAATATAATGATTTATCTTTTTTAAAATATCTTAAGAACTAAATAGGACCCTTAAAATTAGGGTTCAAACTCAAGAAATAAAAGTTGGGCCATAATCGCCTATTAGAGTTGTGTATTTCAAGCTAATTAAATGTTTTTTTTTTTCCATTTTTTTTTTGTCGTACGCAGTAGTATTTGGTCACACATGACATCTTGGATGCCCTGCAAAAAGAAGAACATAAAGTAGACGTATTGGCATTCCACTTCATTGCCATGTCTCTTTATTCATATTCATGATATAGACATCAATCTTTTGCTTTTTCCCTAGTAACATCCACATTTAATCTTCAACAACAACAAGGGAGAAGAATGAATAAGACATATATATATATATATATATATATATATATATATATATATATGTTCACCTTTAAGTAGGAGAAAATTATACTTTTTATCTTTTAGTTATAAGATAATTGCGAACTTAATTCTTATGTTATAAGTGGCATTACTTTAGTTCTTATTTTTTTAGTAAGGGAAACCCGCAGTCACTATATCCAAGTGTGTGCATTGAGTAAATCACGTCTTATAATTCTAGCAAGCAAAATATCACAAAGAGATAAACCAATCTAAGTTGTCCATAACTGACCAACTCAAACGGGTGGAAGTCGATCTTAGAACCTTGTAGTTCTCATGTTTTGAGCAAAGTGATATTTTCGGGCTCTTTGTTAACACAAGTCTATCAAAGCTTATCAATACTTTTCAAACAAATCTAATTACTCAAGGCTAATAATGGAACTCCATCTCCTTTTTTTTTTTCTTCTCCAAATTGACAACGCAATGGCCTACGGTTCTATGTTTATGGTAATACAACAGTTAATAGATCGAGGGAAAACTTTGGAAAAATGACCAGAGATCGAGTCTCACCAGCGGCAGTGCGGGAGCAACCTCTCAAAGTGAGGGGGTTCCTTGTGCGCAGTGAGCACAGGTCTAGCCTATGTGGTTCATATTGTTGAGTTACCATGATTTACATCCTCTCAAATGCTCTGTCGGGTCGGGGTGTGGAGGAATCTTAGGGTTGGGGTTCAGCCTTTTGGAAGAATAGTTAATAGATCACAAGAATTGAAAGTGTAGCTTTACCGCTAACAACTTAAAATCTAAAGCATATAACATAAAGATTTAAGTTTGCTTCTACCTATAAACTAGGATTAAAAGTATAATTTTTCATAAACAAATATTTGACAAAGCTAAGGTTTGTATTAAAAAGTCAATTAAGTGTTAAGAATATTTATGGCTGATATCTTGACTCTGATACCAAATTGAAGCATGTGCACCATCTCAACTAAAAATCTAAGCTGATAGTTAGATTGCACATTAATAGTTATATATATGCTCAACACGCCTCCTCACGTATGCAGGCCAATTATTTTTTGGGATTCAAGCAACACGTGGACCGTAGTTTTTTTATCGGGTGACGTGCCATTAAGTAATTCTTAATTACAACGATCTAACGCATGCAGGAAGTTAATTGTAATCTGGCGAATTGAATACAAAATTGTTGATTCATGGGGCCTGACCAAGATTCTCAGAGACAATACTGGCTTGGAAGCTTGCATAGTTAGGTCCATTTCATGGCATGCAGTGGCCTTGGACGCTTCGATCTGTTTTGGGTCCAATTAACTAACATACAAACTAATTGGTTACATATTATTCCATGTGTTACGTTGGGTCCAGTTAATCTTTCACAAAAATTTAGAGCTACAGTCAAGTTCAACATTATGTCGGATGGCCTGGTGTACATTTTAAATGTAGTGTTGACTTTAAAATGAATTTAAACCAAATGTAATATGAAATACTTTCAAAATCGTGATTTTTCATTTTTTTTTTTGTACTAATAGTCAAACTTACAGGATTTTTTTTAGTTTGATTTACTTCTTATGTGTGGTTTACATAATATTACTCAATATTTAGGAATAGAATTTACCTATTGTATATCCTCTGAGTAGTGGAGCTGCGAGTATCCTTTATCATTAAAAAAAACATGAACACAATCTTTTGTACCAGTAATAAAATTTTTAAACAACTTATTAGACTTTAAACATTATGATTTTTTTTTCATCAGTTAAAAGAACAATACTACTTATAGGAAATCATATATTTTAATAGTGGTTCAATATGGTAGGTTGCATCAAGTATTTATCACATGTCCATACAAATATAATAAAGCATAAATACGCTCCAACCGTCCAATATTATAAATTTATAATTAAACTTCCGGAACGTTATTTAAACGTTGCCGACAACGGACGAATTTTTAAAAAATAAAAAATAAAAGGAAATAGGTAACACATTTATTTTATTTTTGCCACGTAATATTTTGAAAACATTTGGTCTATTCATTTAATATTTAATATATATTGAGTAAACTCTACTTCTTGCAAACCATTCGAGATAGAGGTAAATCACATTATGTGTTGAAATTATTATCATTTGAATACATCCCTTGGCATAAAGGTGACTCGTGTTCCGACCAAGGCATAGGTGGGTAAGGTCGATCTAATAAGACAATGTGGGTCGAGCGCCCAAGCACTGACTCACTATCACTTGGAATTCTCAATCCCAACCGACTTAATTACTACTTTTTGGATATAAAATTGTTATAACTATCATATATTCTTGTTGACAGGTGTCTACACCGAGACAAAACTGCTTTAGTACATGTATAAGCATAAATTAACTCCCTTGTAAGGTTTAGATGCATGCTCAAGTTGTCTATAAACACAACATACAACATGTATTTTAGATAGCGGTGGATACTTTGCCAAGTTGAATATACTTTGCTCATAGTTCTCCTCGAGTGCCAAGAACTATATATTGTCAATCCATATTTTGCTCTCTTGATTGGTTGATCATCTTATATAAACATCTAGTAGTTTATGTTAGGATTATTGGGTCATAAACACCAATATCATATAATTATATCTAAGAAAATTTTATTATACCAAAGATTACATCTCGTGATCAGTGATACAATTGAATAACTATCTCTATTTATTGACTATTTATAAATTAATAGATTTTACAATAAATTTAACAAATAAGGACAAATCTAATTAGATGTGCTAAAATCGTCCTTGTATGTGCTTTGTTTGACCTTTGATATATTTGCTTCTTTTTTACTTTAAATTTTATTCTTAAAAAAAGTTGTAAATTTAGCCAAACAATATTGTTTGCAAATTTGAGAAGTACTTTTTGTGATAGATATGAAAGAAACAATTTTCTCTCTTTCGTAAGAAATCTTAATTTGAAGATCTTTTTAAAAGGTTTTTGTTTTTGAAAAGCAAAAGTTTCTTTTTTATTAGCTCATTTTAAAATAAAGTTGTTAATTTCCATCTTATCTACTTAAACCAAGCAGCCATTATATATAACTCTTTTTTTTTTTTTTTTTTAAAGAGCCATTATATATAACTTGATTCCGTGAAATTAACGAAAATAAATAAGAAAAATATGAATTTTTTTTTTTTTTTTTTTTTTTTTTTTTTTTTACCTCTCATGTATTCATAGATACAGAATATAAGTGATTATTTGGGACAATCCCAATTGAGGTAGTTAGATAATTAGTTTGATATTCTTTAGCTAAATCATTCAACAATGAATTTGTTTTTCCATTTATGATCTTTTGACGGATAGAGTCACAAGACAAACTTTACCCAGAGCCCAACTTTGTACAGCGAATAGTTAGCAGATGCATATAACTTTAAAAAAATTTCTAAAGAAACACTAAAAAGATACAAAATATATTTAATTCAAATGGGAGGCCTAAAGTTGATTTTCGAAAAGTTTCACATTTTATGCATTTGATTTTTTTTTTTTTCAATTTAAAAAATATAGTTGGACAAAATAGCATTTACACATGTTTTAGTTGTTGGTGTAAAATGAAAAAAAAAAATTAAAAAAATAATAAAAAATTGGTGTAAGTTACTGGACCAAGCAGCTATTCAGTCCGAAGAAACTGTGTTGCTAGGCCCAACAACGAGTCGGATTTATTATTATTGTTGTTGTTGTTGTTGTTGTTATTGTTGTTGTAAACCACTGATTTTTTAAATTATAAATATAATAATTCAAAAAGTAATATATTTTACAAATATAATAATTAAGAAAGTTATATATGTTGAATAAAATAGATATAAAATAGCAATGTATTGTGTGATGAATAATGCTTCTAGTTGAGAATGTTAATCAATGTATTCATTGTACTAGAAATAATATTTATGATAGATAATTTTTGTTATATGAATGACCCGTTTAAATATATATTATATAAATAATAAATATGTTTTGAAATTAGACATGTAATAAGTAATAAATATATTTAGAAAATTAGAAATAAAAACTTTAATTTATTAATAGTATACATAATAATTTAGGAAGTAATAAATATTTTACACCAATGGACACAGTCAATATTACCTTTCTCTTTTTAATGATGTGGCATCTTTTTCTTCATTGATAGTGTATATGATTAATATTTGATGCACTACGAGTGCATAAATACTATATACCAACGCTAAAGGAGAAGATGTCACATCATCAAACCCTATATAAAGAGAGAGATCAATCTTTCTATGAATGATTGTAATAATGACACGTGAAGTGAGAGTCGAATATTACATGTCACTAATTACAACCCTAAAAATAATATATATGAAGCAGATGTAATATCGTGGTTAGCATCTAGCCAGGACAATAATTCCCAAGTCGTCCTAAACCATAATACTATAATTCATACCTTTGTGTTGTGCAATACGAATGTTATGATTTTGTCGGTTGCCCAATCCAATCATCAAACCAAAACCTTAGGCTAGCTGCACTCATCATTCTTTCAACAGCTCATCATCGACGAAACAAACACACTACAACACTAAGATTCTAATTCTCAACAGCTCACTAATCACATATATAATTCATTTCCCTTAATAATATATTAATCATACATATTTAAACTACAAAATCATTTATAAAAATTTGACGTTTTCACGAAGATATATATATAACATTCGGTCGAGTCTTACGTACCCTAAATTCTTAAACGCATAATAACTTGAAACCCAAGATTAAGTTGTAAACTTTGAGAACGTAAAGAAAAGTATGTCAATGCAAGAATGATTGCCAACATAATTATGCCACGGTGTGAGACACCACATAGTGATTAGTGTATAGAAATTCCTAACCTATATGTATATGCATGTGTATGTATATGTACGTAAACATTTGTGTCGTTTTGAGGTTGTTCCAATATCTGGTATTCATCCTCTTACAAGTGTTAAAAGAAATTTTTTTTGAACAAGAGAGAAACTCGCAGTCATTTTTCAAGGATATGTATTTAGTGAATAATGTCTTGTGATCCAAACCGATAAAAAATTATAATAAAATAAATGAACTTTAAGTTATTCATAATCTACTGGCTCGAACCAAGGGTGTGTTGGGGAATTGAATGTGAGAGAAGATGAAGTCAAGGTCAATGAGAGACTCCATTAACCCTAGTTTGCTCTTATATATGTACTGTCAGTCTGTCATTCATCAAAGGGTTCATTCCAAGATAACATTCCAAGTCTATGTATGTATGTGCATTTGCGTGTAAAAGGAATTTTTGGGACCATGAAAATGAAAACCACAAGAACAAAAACAAAAATAATAAAGCCCAGAAAAAAGAAAAATCTATGAGAAAATTGATTATTATTATTTTTGTATCATCAAAACAGTATATTTTATTCAATAATTTTAGCTAGCTTGAGACCTCTTCCAAAAGCTTGTACCTTCTCACCTTGTTTCTAAACACAGGTTTTACGATTCCGTTTTCCGACTTAGTCCTCCTCAGCCTCTCCTCAATGCTGCCGCCACCGCCGGCGGCGACCCTTTTTCTGGCGACCACCGACGGCGGCGATTGTTCCGGCGACGGGTTCGTCTTCTGTTTGGTGATGGGAGGAGGACTCTTGACTCGCAGCTTCATAGGGGCCTTTTTCCCCTTTGGGCTTGACCCTTTACATATATTCTTTTCATGAGACGACGACTGCTGCGGCGGCGGAGGCGGCGGGAATTTTTCATTCTTGATTTTCCGATCACCTTCCGTTTTGACTCGACACGACGACGAGGAATTCGAAGAGTTATCCTTCTCGCTTAGGCACCAGTTGCAGAGGCGATAAGACTCCGCTTTCGGATACAAATTGCTGCAATATCTGCAACAAATTAAACAACATAGAATCAATTAAAACCAACCTTAGCTTTCTCGAAATCAAATGAAACCCTGCAGATCAGAGACGAAAATCTAGAAATCCAAACCAATCGAATCAATCACCTGTGCTGGGATCTAACTTGGCAAGATTTGCATCGGAAAAGCTCAAACGACAGCCCATGATCTCCACACATGCAACACTCAACACCGGAATCCGCCGACGCCGGAGCACTGCCACTGCCACTCCCTTCTCCTTTGCTGCCGGTTGTCATCTTTGTGTTACTATGATTTTCTGTCTCATATTATACATGGATCACAAGACTATATTTATAAATATATATACGTATATATATGGTTCAGAGCTTGGGAATTGGGATGTGTGTATATATATAATGCGCGTGTATATATATATATAGAGAGAGAGAGTATATGGAAGCTAGGAGGGGGGGGGGGGGGGGGGGGGGATAGATGGTGGGTTTGTCTGCCACACAAGAGAAAAGATGAATAATAGAGGGGCATTTTTTCTTGAAAATTGACATGATATCATTATCAGGTGACCCGTGTGTGACAAGGACCTAATGCATTTTTAAAATTTGACAAAATTTTTCCAAATAATAATAATAATTTGATAATTACAAAATTACAAATTTAACTATCAACGATAACAGTATATTACATTTTATTTATTTATTTCATTATGAACTTATGAGCAAATTAAGCTGATTTACTTCCTTATAAATTTTTACTGATTAGGAATTAAGATCACAAGACATGATTTACCCAGTGTACATTCTTAAATAGTGACTTCAGGTTTTTGGTAACTCAGAATAATAATATTTACAATTAGTTGCCAAAGGTGAACGATTTGGAGGCCATTTTATGTTTGTTTATTCCTTCAACGATTGTTTCTGTCAATGACTTTAAGCAAACATTATTATCTAATTTTTTTTAATGCAACCAAAATTATATATATAAAATTATCGTAGCTCGTTGGCCACGATGGACAATGTTGATTAGACCGTCATTATATATGATTTTAGATAATAAAGTTGATGACCAAGACCAATTTTAATGTTTAAAAAAGTTGTGGAAATTTTTTGATAGATGCCCAATACTCACGTTTCAGACTTGACTATAACTTGGTCGAAAAAAGCAATCTCCTCTTTTCTTTTTAAATAACTTGTTTTGAATATTTCTTCATAAATATAAATTTGAGACTTCTAAAGTCTCAGTGATGGGTGGATGGATATTAACTTTTTGTGTTTCAATAGATTGAGAAAGTAGTTATGAACAGATACTGCAATGTAATAGAGTCAGTAGTATTCAAAAAAAAATCGAGACCTCTATATTATATATATTAATTGGTAAATTAAAGAGTCACTCAATCAAATGACATGTGTACGTGTTCGTTATGTTCTTCCCGATTATGTTGTTTATAATGATCAATTTATAAATTTTACGATAGAGCTGTTTTCACTTTTGATCTCCCAATTATTGGACCTATTAATATTTAGTTCTTAACTTCTTCTTCTTCTTCTTCTTCTTCTTCTTCTTCTTTTTCACATTTGATCTTTCTGATCAATTATTCACACAACCTTTGTCAAAATTTCAACATAACAATCATGTTAGTTATTTGAAAGAGTGTTTATGTTATTAGATTCTGAGTAACATGTGGACTACACATGTGAATATAGTAGTATTGCAGTTAGTGTTATTGAAAATTAGACATGATTGATCGAAAAATAGATCGAAAAAAAAAAATAGCAAGAATTTGATAGTCGTCCACTAAATATTTAAAAAAACAATTGATATTCATGGACCCCGAAAGAAATGTCTAAGTAAGTGGAGCATGATTTTCATATCAGAAGATCACGTATTCAATTCTTGCTAACATTTTCTTGATCGAGCACATCACACAAGATTTTTTTAGTGCAATTTACATCTCAATGTATGATTTACAGGCTATTACATATGATCAGAGTAGTGGCTGGTCCAAATTTAAATGAAATACAATAGTCGAGAAATTAAAAGTAGCAAGACTCTTTCATGATTTTTTTTTTTTAAACCAATAGCATATGTTAACCCTAAAGTAGTGTGGCATCATATCACTTCAACTCAACTTTCTTTTGTACAAAAAATGAAAAAAAGAAATGTTCAAAGGGGACATCAGATTGAATTATTCTTTTCCATATAACGTACGGAGTATAAGAGGAAATTGAGTTTGATACGCACCATCAATATTTTGATGGAGAGAAATAGTTGGAGTTTTATAAACGAAAAGTTTGCTTCCTTATTTAGGCTGATATTCCAATTAGATAATTTCACATCCTTTTAAGATCTCATCAAATTTAGTACCACAAAGTCAACAATACATAGTTTTACGCAAACCTACTATTGGTTTTTTATTTTCTTTTAATAATAACAAATCTAATTTTCGGACTTTATTCCACTATATTTATGACGATTGGGTATTTCTTTAGTACCAAAATGCCCACTATAATTTGTATATTCTTATCAGTTATATGTAGTGAATAAAATTTATATACTTGACATATTGTATAATACTCATTGATACACTGAAGTCTACGACAGCAAATATCATGATAACTTGTGACAAGTAATAGATGAGGCTAGTTGGTTAAGCAGCACAACAAATCTATCAAAATGCTATGACGGCTTTGTGACAACTATGCTAGTCCAATTTGGCATTGTGAAAAGCATAAGAGTATCTTTATCCCGGTAAGTGTATCTCATTTTTAAAAGTAGGTCCCACATCAAAATCATCAAATTTAAAATTACTTCACTATTTTTTCTATACATCTACAATACTCTCTCACTTTAAAAAACGGTCTCACATTCACATCACAATTTTAAATTCATATATTTAAAAAAAAAAAAAAAAAGATTTTGATGCCAAATGGCCGCAAAAGCTGCTATTTGGCAGTAAAAATAATGGGTTGAAAACTTGCTAAATAATTTTTTGTTGCCACCTCACCTAGCAAGTCGGCCTAGTATTGCTCACTCAGTGGAGGAGGCCATGCCAGGAGGATTTGAATGTTCATCTTCTCGATCATCTTTGGTCGGATGAGTCTTCCAGAACACTAACTTCTTGGATCTAATTCTATGAGCTTACTATTTGATTTTTGGACCAATTGGACTACCTTATAATCCCATCAGTTAGTATATCGTGTAGAGAATAATTTGTATGCTTTTGTACTATGTTTTGTTCAAGTTTTATATAAATAATAATAATAATAATAATGTATGCATAGTATAATTTGTAATCTTAATTAATATGAAAATTGGATTGGAGGAAAGGAGATGTAGGGATGAGGGATGGAGGTTCCTTAGCTTAATTAGCTTGTTGTTGAAAGTAAAAGAAAAAGTGGTCCACACGTATTGTACAAGGACTAAGGAGTACATAATAATGACAAGGAAAGAAAAGAAACGCGGAATTGGATGAATATATAATCAATTCCATGTTGATCGCCAAAGGCTACGGCAATACACAATACGTGTTGTTGTGAAGAAGCAACCTTAGCTTATTTACATGCACCAAATCCGGCACTGGTCTTGTGAACCACGGGGCCCCTACCCCTCCATTTTCTAGAAGTTTCCACTTTCCACGGACACTGGAACTAAAGTTGTGGCATACCCACACCATTTCTACTTACATTTCACTTATTTTAGACACAAACCTCCACCATAACTAACACTTTCGCGCTTTGGGTGCGGGTGCGGGTGGGGTAATTAATGTTTCAGCTTTTCACTTTACAGGAGGTTTGGTTGGAGGGATTTTAAATTTCCTTCCCACATAATTCCAAAGATCATTAAATTTCGTAGTTTGGTTGGAGGGAATTGCAATTCCCCCATTTTCATGGAATTAAAATTCCATGTCCCCCCGGGATTTTAATTCCTGAGAAAAAATAGGTAGTGATGAGTCAAAATTACCCCTTCCCTTTTTAACCTAAAATTAATGTCTATAACAACAATAATGAACATTTTTGACTTTATACTACTTATTCCCTTTCAATTCCCATGTATATCAAACATTGAAATTGAAATTCCTAGTAATTATATTCCTGTCAACCAAACACTGGAATTTAAATTCCCACTTTATTCCCAGTAATTCAACTCCCATGGAATTACAATTCCTTTCCCACATAATCCCCTCCCTCCCCCCCCCCCCCCCTCCAACCAAACGCCCTGTTAGTACTAGGAAAAAAATTCTTTAGATTTTGAAGTGAGAAGATATATTATTAAAATTTTCACGATAATGATATATTGTAAAAATTAATATCTAACTCCAGGGACGGAGCCAAAGGGAGGGCGGGGGGTCAGCTGCCCCCCTCACCCCACCTCACCCCCACCCCATATATAGTCTTTGTATGTATATATGTATATATAGTACAGGGTTTAGTATTAGTATAAAAAAACTATAAAATGTTAACAAGAATAAGTGAGTTAGAGTATGTGGTATAGCACATATTTGATAATAATGAGGTTTAGCGTTCAAATCTTGGCATCAATATAGTTTTACAATTCTTTTTACTCATTCCCCATGACTTCAACAAAGTCACGTTTTTAATAGTTTTTTTAAACACACACACACACACACACACACACACACACACACACATATATATATATATATATATATATATATATATATATATATATATAACATTCTTTTATATTAATAATAAGATGTGTAATTTATAATGTGTTTTCTATTCAAATTAATTATGTTTCATATTTTGTTATGAATATTTTATAAAGTTTCGATGTGTTTAATTTTTCGTCCATATCCAACAATTTTACAATTATATTTTTTAGGTAATTTATTTATTAAATTATCTCTTTTGTTTTAATGTTTTGCTTTTACTGGAAAAATTTTTCGAATCCGTCTGTACTGTTTCGCCTCCCTCAACCAAATTTCTGGTTCCGTTCCTGTCTAACTCATTGCACCACGTATTTGTCCGGTATTTTCAATTAATTGTATTGGCGTGTTACGCCGTTGATGTCACGTTTGCTTGTATCTTTCTGTTTTGTTTATTTCTTGTGTATAAAAAAAAAAAAAAAAAAAAAAAAAGGATATATTATTATTGATTGTGATAACTGAATGGGTGGATGTGGGAGTTGGTAAGTCAATCCTTCAAGTCAAGCCAGAAGCCTATATTAAGTTTCTAAGAATTTTATTTCCGTGACCCAATAGTTAATAAAGTTGACTCCAAACAATAGGTTTTTTCCTCCTGTGTTTTTATTGTCGTTCACATTAGGATTCCATGCACCCACTTTCCCCCATACGTGTCCAATATACAATTGGTTCAAACCAGGACTTCATGAACGTAACGGGGAGAAGAAACCTCCGATCCCATATTTGTGTACAATATTGAAAGTTTTAAAACTAACGATTTGTACCAATCAACTAATCACTATATGATTCCTATTTGCTTATCCTTATCCCAAAACCTTATACCTTTAGATGATAGTTAGATAAGCCGATCTCCATCCACCCAAATGATCCTATACCCAAGATTTTAATTCATATCTGTTTTATTTAAAAATATTCTAATTAAATTTTATTATCTACTTACCAGATACCAGTCCGGGAAAAAATAAAAGTGCTCATTCGATGAGAAATTAATAAGTAATACAACTACTAACTTGATAAGTTGATCGAGCTGTTTGAAGAGTCAGATAAACATTTTTTTAGAATAATAAGATAAACATAAAACTGATAAAATTAATAGTTATAATTAGAGGTGTTCATTCGGTTAACTAAAACTTTTTAATACTTTAACGGTTAACCGAATCGAACTTTGTATTACCCACTTGATTTTTTTTCAATTAATCGATCAATTAACCAATTAACCAATTAACCAAAGTTTTTTTTAGCTAAATCTTTAAAATAATAAATCTAATTATTTCTAGATGCTCTGTCAGACCAAAATGTGAGGGGCTCTTGGAGTTGAGGATTCAACCTTCTGAGAAGAATAAATTCATAACTTCAATACAAAATCCAAAGTCCAAACATTCATAGTCTTTAGGTATTTCATTTTAGTTTTAGGAATTTCACATTATATATTTATTAAAAATTTTGATTAACTGTTCAATTAACCAATACTTTCGAACCATATTAGCCATTAACAACAATTTTACAAAACCTGTAACAATTAATCGAACCGAAATATTTTAATTAAAAAATGCATGGTTAACCAAAAAGTTTCAGTTCGATTAGTTAATTGAATTTACACAGCCTACTTGTAACTTGTAAGTTGATAATAAAAGATGAGGAATTCTATTTGCACCACCCTAATTGCTATATACACCACCTATTTAATAGGTGTGATAACTTTTTGGTGGTGTAAATAGAAAATTGCTATTTGCACCACCTTCATTAATTTTAGTCAAACATTATTTTTTAACAAATATTTATTATAAATGACACTTTTTCCCCTTAGGTATATGCTTTTAACATTTTTTCCCTCTTAGTTATTCATGTATCTACATTTGCCTCCTAGTTATATTAAAAGTGGCATGTTTTCTTCTTTTTATGTTTGATAGACATTTTTACCCGTAAAACTAAATATTTCATTTATTTTTTCTTCTCCAACAAATTATTGTTTATATGTACGAATGGTCACGGTTCAGTTCAAACAATTTTTTTTTTAAATTTTATTGTCAGTTCAAAATTTATTTATTTATTATAAATTTTATTTCTTATTTTTTTAAAAAAAAAAAATTAATAATTATTTTATTGTATTTTATTTTTTCGGTTCTGAATCGTAAGCAAAGCCAAAGGGAGTTTGTTTTAATTTGCAATCACACGTGTTATATATTACTCTTCCGAACTTCATTCCAGTTAAAAAGGGGGGAAATATTGATTTCTTAGGCTTTCGCTGTCATATTGAAGTTGACAATCCATTACGTTCCAATGGCATTTTGGAGTGTGATTTTATATCTAAGATTATATTTGATTTCTCTCTTTTTGAGGAATGCATACCTTCTTTAGAGGATATATATACTAGTAATCTACAATTACTTTGATTTAACAACAATTGGTTTTTATATAATTATTATATATAATATGATTAAGCCAACTATCATGTAATATGATGACATTTCAATTACCATTTCAAATAAATGGTCATAGGTTCGAACCTTGGGAGTAGAGCTTAGATTCTTAGGGTTAAAAATGTTTAAGAAAGTATAAGATAAATAAAACTAATTGTGAAGGCACAACATAACTTTATTTTCTTATACTTACAATTCAGAACCGAAAAAATGAAATAAAATAAAATAAAATAATTATTGAATTTATATTATTTTAAAAATAAGAAATAGAATTTATAATAAATAAATAAATAAATAAATTTTGAATTGGCAATAAAATAAAAAATTGTTTGAAGCGAACCATAATCATCCGTACACATAAAGAATAATTTGTTGGAGAAGAAAAAATAAATGAAATATTTAGTTTTAAGGGTAAAAATATTCACCTAACATAAAATGGAAAAAACCTGCCACTTTTAATATAATTGAGGGAGCAAATGTAGATAAACAAATAATTAAGAGGAAAGAAGTGTTATAATCATATAACTCAGAGGGAAAAAGTGTACAATTTTCCCTTAACCGAAAACTTTTAATTCGATTGCTATAGCGTCCGGTTTAGTTAGAACCAAACCGTGGTCATCCCTACATTTAGAGAAGAAAAATAAATAAAATGTTTACTTTAAGGGTAGAAATGTCAATTTAATACATGGGGGTGTTGGGGGGGAGGAGGAGTCGTCACTTTTAGAATAATTGAGGGGGCTAATATGCTAACATGAATAATTCAGGGGTAAAAAGTACTATAAGTATATAACTTAGGGGGAAAAAGTACAATTTTCTCTTAATTAAAGTTTGAATTAAAAAATTATTAATTACACCTCATAAATGAGGTTTGAGTGTTTGACCAAGGTGGTGCAAATAGCAAAATGAACCCCCATTTGGCTATTTACACCACCTATGTAATTATTGAAAGTTTTCACCTTTTTACAATTCCAAGATACTTTATACCTACTTTTGACTAAAGGGTGGTGCAAATAGCAACACCCTAAAAGATATATATAGACTTATTATTGGTAAGAGAGCCACGACGATTAGAGTTCTACATTTATTATTGGACCGAATAAATGTTGGAAGAGACAAGGCGGGCCTCTTGGGTTCTAAATGAGAACCGCCCTCTAATTCAGAAATATGACGAAAAATATATTTACATACGTACGTACAATGACCAAAACAATCATTCTTCCCAATCAGACTCAATTAATTACAACGAAGTAAAAGCACAATTAACTTGCGAACTCAACCTGCCAAACTTTCACTCTCATGCATAAGCACGCCCTACTTACCGGTTTCCACAACAATCTGTTAAAATTGTCAACATGCAAACATGTGATTACTTGGTAGACAATATAACAAGTTAGAATTCTGCAAGACATTCAAGAAAGTAAAGCACCATAAAATTCATACATATCGAGTAGTATTTACGATGGAGAAGTAGGAATGTTCCCATTCACCTGTGGATAAAGATTAACCCTGTGTGCATTCAAATGGCTGCATGCCACCTTCTGCAAACTCTCGCATCCTGAACCTATCCAGAAATTCAAAAGGCCTGCAAATTGTATGATTCCTTGTGCTGAAGACCTTATGCATTACAAGATTTTCACAAGTATACTGCATGCATGCATGCACACACATATACACCCACACCCACACTAAACATACATATATAGATAATACATACTCGTTGGCAGCAGAAAGGTGAGAAGCCTTACAGAATTGTTTCGCGAGTACGGCATAATTTGCGCTGATTGTTTTCCATAGTGTCTAGAATATTTGAAGTCTCTGGTCCTACTTGACCAGACACACTGGAAGATACCAAATCAATTGGAGTCCAAATCTGAAGTCATAAATAAATATAGCAGTCCTATTGATTAGAAGTACAAAATCAAAATATTTCACACAATTTAGAAAAGGCAAGTTCTTTCTTTCTCACCTTTATGGTGTTGTCAATCCCACTAGTAGCCACAACACAATCATATGGATGACACTGTATACAATTCACAACTGAAAGGTGAAATATGAGATGTTAGACAAGTGAGGAGATGGCAGGAGTTACTAATTGTATTGTTCTTCTAATATCTAATCTAACAAACAATGAAGAAAAAAAAAATGGCATTACCAGCTTCATCTCCATGAAGCATTTTTATAAGCCTGCCAGTTTTTTTTTCCCAGATGAACCATTTACCATCATCACTCCCACTAGCAATATAATCACCTGTATAACAAAATATTGATAACTAACTATCCAGCGAAGAGCACAATAACATATCAAATAAAAAGCCAGGCATACCTCTTTGGCCAAGAAAACTAGCTTGTTTTATATCAGTGCCTACATTACAGTGACCAATGTATCTCTGTTTCATATCTATCACTGCCTCAGGCTGCAACAAGAGCGGTATAAAATACAATTAAGATACTGCTAGTCTGCTAAAATAATAAAATGTCAAAACACAATTATAGAAGAATTCAATAATGGCAGTTATATTCTGTATGAAACAACTCAATTTGGAATATTATATATATATATATATATGTGTGTGTGTGTGTGTGTGTGTGTGTGTGTGTGTATTCATTACAGGCTAGTTGCTAAACAGTATACAAAGATAACATCAAAATCATGACCTGGTAGGACACTTTCGGATCTTGGCACAATGATGTTGGTGACCCACAAGAACCATTCCTTCTGTTCTCTATACTTGAATCACCTCTCCTATGAAACCTCAAATTCAAACCTCCTTGAATTAAATTAGGCTCAGTATCATGTGATTCATCCCCACTTACTGAGGTTTCAAAAGCCAACTCCAGATCCTCTTCATCAGAATCTTCTCTCTCGGACCTTGGACCATCTTGTGAAACATCACTATTTGCATCTGAACGATAGAGTATGTCACTCAATGACAACACCCGTCCAACCTCAGGTTCAGATTTAAATTCTCCATGTTCCTTGTTAGTTTTCTCCGCTTCAGCTGTTCATCCGGATAAATAGAATATTGTATTTTTAGGATATTTTATATCTCATGTTAGTAGCTATCTAGGTTTTAAATATATTTTATTTTATTTTATTAGAAATGTTTATATAGTTACCATTTGAGATAATTATCATTAGAGATAATTGTTATTTACTATAAGTATAAATAGGGCCTCCTGTAATTCAGTATTCATTGAAATCAATAGTTTAATAATATTTTATTTATTTAGTTATTTATGTATTAGATCAAACTAAATTGATTATAACTATAATTCCATTATTTTATTTGGAGAAATCTTTTCTTGAACTGGATTCTGGATTTTATTAGGCTATAATAATAGAGCTGAGCCTTTTCCATTTGTTTTGTGCTGCAATAGTTATAAATCTCACTCAATAGCACCTGGTTGCTATATCAATAGTACAGTCACTGACCTGCAGTGATATGCTTTTTTAAATTCTCGACCTTTTCTGCAGCTTCAGTACCAGAAGGAGCCAATGATTGAGCACAAATAGCAAACTCAAGAGCTTCTTTATGTTTTCCTAACTGCAACAAATATCATGAGCTAAAAAATGAAGGTCTCAAAAATTATAATTTTCCGTGTAAATATTTGTGTGAATATAGTGTCTAGGCTCCTGCATCATGCAGGTTTTGAGGATATATTAAACTTATCTATGTTTTCACAGAGGTTTCCAGGCTGGAATGCATGTTCTAAAGGTACCAAGATTAATCTTCTATATATTTATCTAATAAAGTCATAAGCAGATCCTTTAAAAAAAATTTGCCAGATATTCAAAAACTTGTTCCAGTAGGATAAATTACCTGTAACAAAGCTTCAGCTATCAAAAGTAGTGCCCCAAATGAAGTTGAATTAATCTTTCTAGCTTTATGACAATCTCTTATAGCCATATGTGCATCATTTTTCCACTTTCTCTGAGAAAAAAAATAAATGAAATAAAAGCAAATTCAAATAGTTTCAACAACAAATCCAATGGAAAGCATGAATAATAAATATTATACACAAACCTTGAGCAATAAGGCGGCTCGAATGCATAGACACTCATAAGTTAGCATAGGTCCTATTTCATCCCCATAACCATGCAAGACTTCATTACAGGCTTCAATACCATAATAATACTTTTTGTCTTCTTTCAGTGATTTTTCTGCAGTCTGAATCAACTTTCTGCACTTATCAAGCTGTAAAAGTAGGAGTGAAATGAAATCTGTTTGAGGCAAGAAAATACAAGAATTGAGACTTCCTAGTATAAAATAAGTTGTATCTTAGAGCCAAAATAGGATAACCTTGGCAGTGGCTTGACTTCTTAATGAAGATCCATTTAAAAAGATACCAGTTACTGATGACTGCAACTCCACCTCCTTGATAACAGCATTAAAGTTCATAAGTTTAGCAACATCACTAGAGGAATACCGCATAGAACTTCGCGCTGCAACAAAAGGAAAAGCTTCAAGTTTTTTTTTTTGTTTTTTGTTTTTTTTTTTTTTAATCTGTGACAGCAATGACTGTCATATAACTTTCATTTGAGATTTAAAAAAAAATATACATCAATGATAAACTTTTTTTAAATGTGAAAGCATCCTTATATGAGGTTTGGTTTTGGACATATATATCTCAATCAGATAGCTTAGATTGCAGGGATAAGGATACATTTAATGAAATCAAGCATAGCATACATACTAGGATTTAAATCCATCAAATACACATGCTCCCCACTGTAGCTAAGCAGAACCTCTTCACCATTGGGACTAAACGTAACATGAGTTAGATGCAAGCTAGAACGACCCTGAACGAAAAGAAAAAAAAAAAAAAAAAAAAAAAAAAAAAAAAAAAAAAAAAAACTCAGTATTATAGCTCCCACTTTCTAGAGTAGGTAATACATAATGGCAAGCCCAAAGGTAAATTTTCCGCTTAAATGGAAAATAATGTGAAAAATACAAGAATTCCACAAACCCTCATCTAATGCACCCTGTTACACATGTTCCCTGATGATATAATGCACTAAACTTAATCATCAATAGCAGAGATATTTGGGTAAGAAAAAGTTCTGAATAACCAGATCTAAATTGGAAGGTAATGAATATTTCCATGATGGAATCAAGTCCCATTCATACTGTTAAACACAGTCCACAATTTTACCTACAAGAAGAAATTAGCAAAATACTTAACAGAAATTAGGCTTACTAACCAATTTCAGGAATAACAGCAAAATTTAAAAAAATAGTACTCCGTATTAATAATACTAACAATAATAATAATAACAACTACTCAACTGCTACTTGAAGGAATCCCCATTAGAATATACATCAAGGAAAAGTACAGAGAACAGAGCAAAGGGAAGATTTTCTAGAATTTGGCATGCAGTGCCACAGTTCAGGAGCATGACAAGATTGACAATTACTGATAAACAAATCTAGCAAAGATCAATTCACAACTTCAAAATGAGGCAGGAAAAAGGTTGAGTATGTAGCAGTCAATGTATCTGACATGCCAAAAGCATTAAAAATTTTGGAACTTACACGGTCAGAGAGATGCATTGGACAGAAATAATTAACACATGAAGGAGGTGCCAACTTTTTCTGACTAGAGGACAATGGTGGCAGCATTCTTCTATCATACAAACGAGCAAAAACATCACTGCAAGGATTAAAATAAAAATTAGCACAAAGTTGGATCCAAAAATGAAGAATCTTCTGCTAGAAAAAGCAAGCTACAAAAAACATACCTCCCACCAACAAGAAGCAAATGGGGCCTAGTCAAGCTGATATCACAAGACTTTAAAGCAAAAAATTGCTTAGGCGGATCAGCCAATGACTTCTTACCTCCACAGCGCAAGTCAAGCTGATACACACATAAGAATTTAACATAATGATGTAGAAAAGTACAGCTGGAAAATAGGAAAAGCATTTCTCTAAAAGAAAATATAATCTTTTAAAATTTTCGAACTTAATTATTGCCCTCCCTCAGAAGTGGGCTCATAATTTCTATTGTCAAACACAATTTTTAGACTACAACCAAGTTCAATGTGCAGCAACAGAAAACAAACAACAGAACTTCAAGTAAACTATTCAACAGTAGTTGGGCAAATCTGTTTTAATATTCACATCTGCAAATTGGGTAGGGACACCAACACCTCTATGCTCCGACCTAACAAATATTGAGACTCCAGGGGCGTTATGAACTAAACATATAAAAAAACAAAAGCTCAATATGAGCCAAAAGAATAAAACCAATTCAATATAACCATTTAAGCTTCATGCTTTACTGAGCAGAAAGTAAGCCAAACACATTTTCCTGTTCGATAACAATTTCACATAGGACATAAATATGAAGATTAAGGATGCTTAAACACTAAAGTTAGAAAGAAAGCACAGTCCAGCAAATAGGAAAGTGGTTTAGCACATACAAGAATATTACGACATTCTTGATGAGAAGAACCAGGAGTAGGGCAGGAAGCACCCTCTCGAAAATCATGTTGCCTCAAAGTTCCATCTTCACTTGCACTCCATACAACATTTGGGTTTCCAATCTCAACCTGCAATAGAAAAAATAATAGCAGCATGAAATATGAGGAGAAACAAGCAAATAAGCATTAGTTAATGAGATCTTACAGCTAATTTTTTGACCCTCCGAGTGTGGCACTGAAACACTGCTGATGGACTGATAAAATTCTCATCAACACCTCTTCCCCTTAAATGAGACAAGTGAAAAAGCCGAACCTGCAAAAGAAAGAAAACAAGGGTCAGTGCAAGTTCCCAGTTCCAGTCACAGCATGTTGACAGTGCAATCAATAATGCATATGCATGTATGATCGACCCATCAAGAAATTACTTCAGCATCCCCAGCTCCAGAAACAACTAGCTCATCCGATGTTTCAGGGACAAATTTTGTGCAGAATATATTTGCTGAATGGCCAGTCTCAATACTGTGCAGTAGCTTGTGGTTTGAATAGTTCCATATATTCATCTGCAGCAAATCAAACAAATCTCTGAATGCAGGTCAACACAACTTTATAGTAACTCTGGAGAAATATATATTCGAACAAATGATCATACTCTCGTATCATCAGATCCAGATATCAAAAGTGACCCTCTTGAATTCCAAGCAATAGTGTTGACGCAACCCTGATGCCCCTGAAAGCAGTGTAAAACAAAATGCCTTTGCATACACCAATAAAATTATTTGTTTAAATACATAAAGAAGAAATTAAATAACAGCATTCCACAGGTAAAGAAAATAAAACGAGAGAAACTACTAGGCCTCAAAAAGAACCAGCTTTGGGTGAAAGGAGGATTTTAATGCATTCTTGTAGTAACGTCAACAGAATTATTCTCTAAAAGCCTTGTAGTTCTCAATTTCCATATTATCTAAAAATCTAATACATTCAACCTTAGCGGGAGATGTCTGGAAAAGCCTAGTCTGGTGAATATTATTCCAGTGGATGTACTTCAAATAGAACAACCTCAGTAGAGACTAGAAGGTCATATTACTCAGTCATTCTCTTGGAGTTACAAATCTACAATGAAGGTAGATGCATCTCCTTGTAAAGGTCACAAACATAGGTACAAATTTTACTTCAAAGCATATTTGGTTGTCTAAAGATTTTCCTCATCTAGCTCTAGACTGGACTATGTAAGGTTATGTTGAACTTAGATTACAAAATACATCAATAAACAAACGAGTTAAAAAAAAAAAAAAAAAAAAAAAAAAAAAAAAAAAAAAAAAAAACTTTTGGTCTCTAAGATAGTAGTGATTTGTAAACCCAACCCCTTAATTACATGTTGCAAATGCTATCCCTTAATTGTCTCCCCTGAAGTGGCTATTTTGATCCCCATGTTACTGCAATTATTAGTTGTATTTTAAATTTTGCATGTGTTTTGGTCCCTCTATGTCAAAAATGAAAGTAAGAGTGACATAGGGAATTAGAATATGTGCAAAGTTTAAGAAAACTAACAAATGCCATGACAAAGGGGATCAAAATAGCCACTTTAAGGGAATTAAGAATGGCATTTGCAACAGCATGTAACTAAGCCATTGGAGTTAGAAACCCATACTAGCTTAAGGACAAAAAGTGTTTTTTTTCCCAACAAACAAAAACATGAACTACAAAATTTGTATGTACACAGGTAATATGAAAATGACATGAACTACAACAAGAGCGCAAAAAATTGTATTCAATTCAACAGCTGCCCAGGTTGATGTCTAGGCGGTCTAGCTAGAGTACTTACCTCTAATTCCCTTTCTAAGGACAGCCTCCGTACCAAAGAGGAGTGCATTTGAAATCTATGATCAGTGTCCTGTATGGAAGATGGAGGTAAAGAGATTAAAAGTAACAAAAGAAATGAAAAACAGAAGCAATATATATTGAGGAACACTGCTTAACTAGTCAGAGTACAGAGGAAAAGAAAAACCAAGAAACAGTTTAGAAACTGTTAGAATTTATTCCTTGTGCACAAGATATTCCTTCTGTATAATAACAATTCTGTATAGATACTGGAAAGAACAGCACAGATACTCTTCACACAGCAGAAAATGGCAGCAACTGCAGTGATGCGACCGACTTTGGATTTGAGGCATAGAAACTTCTATACATTGAGAAACTTGTTTATCCATAGAAATCATTGTTCTCCTGGAAACTTCCTCTTTAGATTAAATCAATTACGAGGTGATTAGTTAGCATGCAACAGAAATCGAGTTCCAATTTTCACTCAATGTATCCTTCGAAAACTTATGACTCGATGCACAATGCACTAAAAGTACTTCCAAACAGCTTCCATACTTCAAGCCTTCAACTAGGCTTCATCAAACATACGGCAGCCAAACAACTAAAGCATATTCTGCGCTATAGTTCCAGCAAAAAAAAAACTATTTGTATTTTGACTTTCGCAAGTTTAGTAACAGGTTAATTCATAAAGTCGCTACAGTATAGTAAAACAACAAATAGGAAATCATAAATAGAAATGTCCGATACAACATTTGTGAGAAACACGAAGAATTTCCAAACGAAATCGATCATAATTAGATAATTTGAATTTAACAGAATTATTTATTTAAAAAAAAAAAAAAAAGGAGAGAGAGAGAGAGAGAGACTGGAGCATACATGGCGGATGTCGAGAGTACGGATATTGATCATGTCGGTAATGTTGCCATCGTGAAAGCACAGTGACTCCATTTCGCGAGGAAATTCCAGAAAACGTTCGACCTTTTACAGCACGAGAGGGAGATGGAGTAGAGAAATCATAGCTCGATCAAGGGGAAATCATGATGATGATGACGAAGCTGATGATAAATGGCAGTATCTGCGTGCGATCATCAGACAACTGTTGCACTTAGAGGGTGCTGGGCCAATCCGAAGCAAAGCATCTGCTTTAGGATTTCAAATTGGGCTTCTTTTGTTGATTACCGATCGTAGTATTCCATATGCCCGCTATGGCCCAAAACAATATATTCTCCGTAGTCCGTATAGGCGTTTGCATGTGGCAAATTACACTAGGAACTACGATTTATATTATAAGGTGAATCACTAATAAATATTCATTTTTATTATATATAACAATTAGTTTTTCATAGAATATTAGAATGCTTATTTTTAATATATTAAAAGTTAATTTTAGGTAATACATTAAAAGTAAAATTAAAAAAATAAACATATAATACATAAAAAAAAGATACTTTCAGTATATTAAAAATGAACATTGATATCAGTGTTCCATCATTCAATGTGGATCATGGTCACCGGTATAATGATTGTATACATGTAAAGTTGGAACGAGTTTACCTCCACGAAAAAAAAATACAAAATCTTTCTGCCACGAAAGAAGTGTCTGAGTTAGTAGAATATAACTATTGTATTAAAATATCATGAGTTTGATTATTGTCAACCTTCTTGGTTTGGTTGATTACAAAGAGGATGTATAGGGATAATTGCAACTAGTTTGGCTACATAGCTAACCCTGTTAATATTTCACGGGATCAAAGTACTTATGAGATCCCTATATTATAATATTTTATTCAATTTAGTCCTTATAAATTAATTTAGTCCGAAACTGAGCTATAAAAAAAATGATGGTGGGGGCAATGCAGGCAGGGGTGGGATATGAATTTTTTCTTCCTGCAAATAATGCAGACAGGTGGTCCCTTGCCAGAGTCATCAAAACTGCAGAGCATTGGAGATGGCGGAGGAATCAAATACCATTACACATCACTTTCTCACTAATAAAATGCGTGCATGCGACGTAAGAACAAGAGGCATCAAGACAATACATAATACCAACCAACTTAAATTACATCCAACCATCATCATCATTCACACCTCAATATTCTACAAACCACGCACAACACTCCTATATAAATATATGCGCCCCCATTACCAAGTCAAAGTACTCATATTTTACACAAACAACTAAACAAAGGATCATGTGATGGGGAACCATCACCTAACCAACACCCTAAGATGCCAAGAACCTCACACTAAACACATGGATAAATGGTGGAAATTGCAAATTCCAATACCCGTCATTGCAGCATAACTCAACTGGTTAATTAATCCAAAACCAGTTCTCAATCAAGAAGTGATGCCATCTGCAATCTGCCACAAGGGATAAGATAGAAATTCCACACAAGATATGAAGTGACAGTAACTCAAAAAAAAGGGGCAAGAAAGTGAGGGTAGGGACCAAAACGACCCACAGAACATGAATCCATCCTTTTCCATGGTCCTACAGATAAGCAATTCATGTTCTCATTCACACGACATATAGCTAGGCGGCGGGTGCATTCTCATAGGGAGCGTTGGTGTCGAGTTGTCAACACAAAGACACAAAGTGCTCCCTTATCTTTAAAACATGACACCTAAGACTTTAAAAATCCAATGGCAGCTGTGAAACGATGCAGTAGCCACGCTTTGTCATACTGGTCCCGAATTATACTGTACTTAATCCCCTTATTCATTAGCGTTTGGCAAGCCATAAGACGATACTACTCCAAAACTACAGCACAATAAAGATATAAGAAAAGCCCAATCCAGTACACCTACTAGTACGATTAATCTTGAAGGTTATCAAAGCCCCAATGACTGGGCTTCGGCTTTCAGGGATCTCAAGCATTGAATGGTTTCATCTATGACGAGCATTGCATCTTTCCCCTTCACGCCAGGAATGATCATTTGCAGAATGCTTATGGTCTTGCGTATTTTCTCTTCCCTTGATCTCTTAATCCCGGATAGTCCCGAAACTTCATTACTGTCATTACCACCACAACTAGATCCTGCATCATCTTCTACCTCGGAGCACGGATGTGGTGGTTTAGCAGTCGTTGCAGTGTGCGTGAATGACAGAACATTATGGCCACCGTCTAACAGTTTATGCCTTTTGGTTGGCCCAGCGGAGCTTTCAACTTCTTCACCCCTTTCCTCATGAACAGTCATGGTACTGGGGGAACGATCGGTGCTGGTTACTTCATCCTCCTCCAAATAGTCGTAATCATTGTCACAGTAGATCAAAGCATTCAGCTCATCGGTATCTTCATGCCATTCGCTTTCCAAATCTCGGTGGCTTTCTTCAACGTAATCATCATCAATAATCAAATTACCCAAGGGAGATGCTTCTTCATTTCTGTTAATCCCGGGATGCTCCCTGATCAAATTATAAGCTCCATGAGGTTTTGGGGACCATGATTCTGGGCACTGCGCAGGAGTACAGTTGGCAGAACTGTAAATTAAGGTTGTCTGATCATCAGATTTGTCAAAAACAAGAAACTTCTTGAGGGAACATCCAGTGCCACCTGTGTTGCAATTTTCAACTGACCCAGACGGAAGCTTCTCTATGGGTACAGGGTTTGGTGAAGTACTGACATCCCGAGGGAAGCAAGGCGAACAGTTGAACCAGTTACGAGGCTCATCGGGTTCGGGTTGGCCTGCCTTGGATTGAGGCCGGGCAGAGAATGTGAGCAAGGGAAAATCCCCATTTGTCGAAACTTCATTAAACTGAGAATTCATATAAACAGAAAAGCAATCCCCCTTCCCGATATTGCTTTGTGCACCTGAAGAATTCAACGGGGCTGATTGCAAACCAAAACACTGGTGATTGAACCAAGATCCAAAGTCCTTTTCCATGCAACCACAGCAATCACCTAGAATATAATCAACCAAACTTCTAAAGTCAGAATTGCACAGATATATATCTATCATATGAAACATAACAAAGAACTCGATCAAACAGTCCAAAACATACCAGCTCTATAGTAACCGTGATATTACAAACTGCTGACTAATGTAGATTTTCGAAATACTGAGAGAAAACTATAAAACTCCAGGCTTAACTTGAACACGGCAGCAAGAAAGTTGTTCTACGTGACAGGTTTCAGCAAATGACGGAAATATTCAGCCTGAAAAAACACCCCACACAAAGCCGGTAAGATTTCTCGGAGCCACATTAGACAAATAGAACATTCTGTGAAGTCAACATTGCAAATTTAGAATCATAATCAACGAGAATCGTATTCAATTCCATACTGACCTGGCAATCCTGGAGAGGTTGAAAACACGCAATGACTCTAACTATTATGGTGGCACTCCCCGCGACTCCATTTTCATGTTTCAATGCCCGGAATCTAGTCTGACTAGCTGCTTGGCACACCATAACTACTTTTTCCCTACCCTTCTTCTCCTCAAAATAACACTGCAGATTCCCAGCAGAAAATACTAAAAACGCCCAAATAACTTCTCACCTCTAACAACTGAAAAGCCTTGAGAACAAAACAGTAACTTGAAACAAACAAAGACACTTGAGATTAAAAAGTAACTAAGTAAGAAGACAGTGGTTAAGACTAAAAGCTGAAGAAACAACTACAAGGAAACCGAGAATGGAAGCGAAACTCAGAGGATCACGCGGACATAGAAGGGAATGACAATGAATCGATTAGACCCCATGGAAGCTTGACTACTTTTTAGGTATGAAAATTGAGAGAGATCAAGAGGTTTCTGAATACTAGAGATCAATTCTACAGAATAACATGGCAATAAAGGTTCAAGGAGACGACTTTCCGAAACACATCAACTGAAAGACTATACCACCGCATGCTGTTCTTCACTATGCTCAACCACCACTTTTCTTGATCTTTAAGCTCTTAACCTATTCTATGCCCCTGTCAGAAGTTTTCACATACAAATCAGTTTCATAGCTAATTACAATCAGTTCAAACATTACAATAAAAAAAAATTTAAAAAAAAAAAAAAAAAACACTTTCAGAACAAAGCTTTAAAATCTATGTTCCTATCAGGAAAAATGAAGAGATGATGGATTTTATAAAAAAAAAAAATTAAAAATAGATCCTTTGAGCTTACAGGTGTAAAAACAACCAGCTAGCAATGGAAAATGGCATTTTTTTATAGTAAAAAAAAAACTGAAAATTAATTTTCAGGAAGACCGAGCTGAATTGCAGGATTATCATCAAAGCTGTCTGAAATTAATGGAAGAGAATCACCTTTTCTATTGCTAAATTCACATTAATTGCTTGTTAATTTTCATTGCTCATTCTGGAAGCAAAAAAACAAGTTTATTTATACAATTGCTTGCTTAATCTCCATTTAAACCAGATTTACACAGTACAACTACTTTCCAAAAAAAAAAAAAAAAAGTGCAAGAAAATACAGAAGAAACAAAAAATCTCCACCAACAAGTAAACAAAAACATTCAGAATCCAAACTCAACACTCACACACATCAAAAGGCAAGAAAATTCATACAAAACAAAATAGAACATAGAATGGCCACAAGGTAACATTTTTCCAGCCAAGAAACTCGTGAGAGAACATGAACTTACAGTGTATGGAATACCAGAGCTCAAAATCCAGGCTTCTATATATATCAACGGAATCAACCCCAGAAAACACGGAGCTTGAAGGAGGGTAGAGAGAGAGTGAGGGAGATAGAGAAAGAGAGGTTTTGTTGCAGTCAAAGAAAGAGGAGTGCACGTACAGAAGGCTATATACGCCTATATAGACAAAAAAGAAAATGATCCATTTTTTATCTTCTCTTTTTTTTTTGGGGGGGGGGGGGGGGGGGGGGGGGGTTTGAGGCGTGGTTTATTTGGTACGTGCGAAATGCACGCTTGTGTATTGAGTGTAGAAATCATGTATACTATGAGTAGTAGTAGTAGAAGTTTTTGGAGTGTTGTTGAGCCGACGGTGGCCGTGGACGGTGGACCCGTGGCTGCTTGCATCATCACTTCTCCATTTTGGATTATTGACCCGTGTGCTTGCCTCTTCTTTGCTTATGCCCATGCCCAATCACTATTTTTCTCGCATTTTCACCTTCAAAATTAATATGTGTATTTAAAGATTTACAAAAAATTAAAAAAAAAAAATCTGTAATTGCTATCAGATTAAGATCAATAAATAGCTATAGTGAGTACTTAAATTTAAATTTTTATGGTTATCAAACTAATTGTTTGACTACCTTAATTTCACGCGTGGTTTATATATATATATATATATATATATATATATATATATATATATATATATGAGTGATCACATGTGGCCATGTTGTTAGGTGTGGTCATATGGTCAATTATAGGCCATTAGATTAGATAGATCCAATGAATCATATTAATCAAGATTTTTCTAGTATTTTCGCGCACATTCTCATACCCAGCGAACTGCAAGGGTAAACTCGTCATAAAACACCGGAATATTAATCAAGATTTTGTTGTGTATTTTATTACACTATTGGTGCATGTTGTCAACACTGTTGGTGTATTCTGGAACCCGGCCGCTATAAATGGCCATTGTAATTACCATAACATGGGAATACACCATTGGTGTGCTTCACTGTGGTGTGTTTTATTACACTATTGGTGTATGTTGTCAACACTGTTGGTGTATTCTGGAACCCGCCTGCTATAAATGGCCACTGTAATTACCATAACACCCCCACTTACCAAAACGCGCGAAAATCCTCAGAATTATCACTGCCGTTAGATTAAACTGATTCAACGACACAGATACGACCACACGACCACACCTAATGACATGACCACATATGAACGCTCTTCTATATATATATATATATATATATATATATATATATTTATTTAATAAGGATTAAATAAAAAGGCCCATTAGGTAAAAAAAAAAAAAATTGTGTTTAATCTCTTTTTCTTTTAGGGTGTGTCTGAAAATCTGAAAAATTATTTTTGAAAATCATTTTATGGAGTTTTGGTGTTTGGAAAATGGTGAAAAATTAAAGTCAATAGAAAATGACTTTCGGTCAATAAGAAAATAGCTTTGTTTTTCTGAAAAATAACTTTCCGTCTTTTTGGGCGGAGTCATTTTCCAGATCCACGTTTCTTCTTCCACGACGTCTTCATCAGCAATCTTCCTTGACTTTCTTCCATGAATTCTTCATCGGTCATCCCAATGTCTACCTTCTTCCTCGATCTTATAATTTTAATTTTTTTAACCTCCGGTGGTGGACCTCAGCCACTAGAAACGGTTTTCGATTGTGGGGACGAAAACCCAAAACCATACTATTTTTATTTATGAAAATCAGTAGAAACTATATTCATTTATGATGAAAACCAGCAAAAACTAAACCAATTTTTCTTCATAATCTAGACTGGTTTCTGTCAGAAATCATACTGTTACCTAGTTTTCATTAGAAACTAGTACTCATTTATTTTTGCCTTTGTTATTTGAAAAAAAAAAAAAAAACTTGGCAAAACATAGCTATGTTGTCAAATATTTTTTTTCAGTTAACAACAATTAAAAATTTTAATTATATATTTCTGCTCATTTTATGAAAATCGAACCAAACACACAAAGACAACTTTCTAAAATGAAACAAAACACGAAAAATGAAAATGTTTTATGAAAAATGACTCATTTCCCATAAAACATTTTTTAGAAGTCATTTTTATAGTTTTCAAACTCACCCTTCATGGTGTTTTTGTTTCTCATTGTCTAGTGGAAGTATATATATATATATATATATATATATATATATATATATATATTAAAAATAAATGGGAAAAAAATTGTACTGAAAATACCTCCGCTGGGTGTTTGGTTGAAGGAAATTTCAATTTTATTCTCACATAATTACAAAGGCAAGCAAATTTCTTCGTTTGGTTTGAGAGAATTGCAATTCTGCGCAATTAATATTCCCTCATTTTTCATGGAATTATAATCTCATGCCCCCTTCGTATTTCAATTTCATTGATTTTAGGAAGGAAAAAAAAAAAAAAACTTTGAGACAAAATTACTCATATCTTTTTTAACTTAAAATTGATGTTTGACATCTCTCTTTTGATTATAGTGTGTCTTATTCTTTTACTCTCAACACAAAACTTCAATCAATATGCCAACTTCAATCAAATATGGTTTCGATCTCAAAACTCCTTTATCTATTTTATTGCTTTCAATTCATTATGCAATTCTATAATTTATTTGCAGAGTGTTACGTAAATTTTCAAAAGCAAAATTTTAATTTGGTCATTTACAATTTTTAATAATTATTACAATAATAATAATCATAATAATAAGTATAGACATTTTGGACTTTATACTATTTATCTCATTTCAATTCCGATGTATACCAAACATTGGAATTGAAATTTTCAGTAATTATATTCTTGCAAATCAAACACGGGAATTTAAATTATCACTTTATACCGCATTATTCATCTCCTAAGAAATTACAATTTCTTTCTTACATAATTCCCTCCCTCCAACCAATCGTCTCGCCAAATTTAGATATTAGAACCGACTAGAAATTGAAAAGTAACCAAGGAAATATTTTTGGATGTGATTTTATGAAGGAAAAAAAAAAAAAAAAAAAGAAGCATATACTAGTGATTTCATGTAGACCATAGTATTGTACTATTGTACTCTCTAGTGATTGATCAACTATCATAATAAAAAGTTTTACAATGAAAAGATTGGAAGCTATAATACCATCATGTCATGCTTGGGAGTGAGATTCTTGATGATTTTATATGTTCAGATTCAACACAAATTAAATTGACAATTATGAAATGTATGTAACAATTTTTTTTTCCGAACCATATAGAGAGAATATCAAATAAAGTTTAATCACCAACTTTAGAGACACCACCTTCACATAACATATATATACATTATGTCTTGTCTAAGCAATTGTAAAATTATAATCGATGACACTCCAAAATATGCAACATTTGCTTTATGACTGTAACCGACAAAAAATCACAATGAAGTAAATCAATCTAGATTACACATAACTAATATGTTCAAACAATTGGTAGTCAAACTTGTAAGTTGTAACCATGTGGTTAAGGCAATATCATGTACTTATGCTTTCAACTCGGTGTTACATTTATATAGAAGTAGCCCCAACTGAATTGATTGGATAATTAATTTGGTAATCATTCCAAATTTAACTCTTTGCAAGAGCAACAACAATGAATTTTCTCATAATTCAAAGTGTTATATTTATATAATAATACGAAAAGTCTTGATGCATAACATAAGAAATTTAGTATCGATATTGTTTTGGCCTTCTAAAATTGTGTAGATTTTTTTTATTAACAATGTAAGTTAAATATATCTATATAATTTATATTTGTTAACTCAATATTATTCATTATTTTAAATGCTTTAATTTATTGAATTTTTAAGTCAAATATAACAATTTTAAACTTTGAATTTGACTCGAGTCTACGTGGGAGCAATATTAACTCTATGTGTTTCAGTAGTAAGTTAAGAAAGTAATTATGAACAGATATTACATTGTAATATAGTCAATAATACTAATAAAAAAAACTTTGAACCCTGACTCGTTAATAATAATTAACACTTGTAAATAAGGTTCAAAATTAGTATTTTTTTTTATATAAATGTAAAACAAAATTAAAGGAGGGAATCCCATGTTAAGCAAGATCACCAATCATTTGAAGCTTGACCGTTCAAACTATGAATCATACACACACATTGTGGCCCCCATAGCCAGCTGCAGATACTTGATTCCTTATTTCCTTAACCCCTCTCACATATAATTTCATTAATTACATTTTTTGCTCAAATGTCATTATTTTGTTGTTATATGAGTTAAGAATACAGTGTCTCATACTATCGACTTATTTTGAATAAGTGAATTTTTATGGTCAATTCATATGTTTTCTTTTTCAAAAGATTGAATCCTCAACCCTCAGTCCAATTGAACATTTAGAATGATGTAAATCATGATAATTCAATGGCGCAGTAGACATGATTAAATGCCGATGCACATAAAGAATCTGATCACTTTGGACACTTCTTACAAATACTATCTACTGGGCTACTGTTATTGAACCATTGAGCTAAGCCGATACGGGCAATTTTTCTCTACTACCTAATTGTTCATATCATTTATATTTTGAACAGGGACACACCATCATACAAAACAAATCAAAATTTTATTACAGTACAATATTAAAACTTTACATTGATGTGATTTATAGTTTTGTTTCAACCATGAAGAGAGCCATTAATGGATGCCAGAAACCCATGGATGTAGACTATCACTAATGATGATGAATGAAAATTACTTTATGCCATTGCTCCATAACATACATGTTCCACTTTCATTCAATATATTAACTATTGATAAAAACTCTTTTATGGATTATGGATTATACTAATTTATAAAAGAAAAAAAGTATATACAAGTAAATAAAGTAATTGCAACTTCAACATATTGTGATTGAAAATTGATAATTTTATTCTTACACCCAGGCCCTAGCACATTTTTACTATAAAATTTTGTATTACTTACTGAAAATTAATTTTGTCTAGTACCACATATACATTGAGACTAATATTATATAGAATCATATATTGAGACTAATCATATTTGTCCTTATTCTCTCAAGTTGTGAAGTCCATTATCATGTATAATTTCCACTATAAAGTTAGTAAGATACTTTTATCTAAGATCGACATAATCCATCATCACATGGGAAGAAAAAAAAAAAACATATATTGTATACCTATCGAAATTTTGGAAAGCTAGTCATGCAACCGTACGTTAA